GACAGAGAAGAGAGAGAAAGAGAGAGAGAGAGAGAGAGAGAGAGAGAAAGGAAGGGAGAGGGAGGGAGAGAGAGACAGAAGCTTGCCAAGCTGAAGAGGGTGGATAGCCTCAAATCAAACACCAGTATTGGAACACTAATACCCTTTTCACATCTACCAAATATTGCTTAACCCCGGGAAATAGGTGGGGCTAAGGGGGCTCTTAGCCCCACCAATTCCTTCCTTAGCCCCACCAATTACCCGGGGTAATTTTAGCCGGCTTTCTGTTCACATTACGTTTTGCCAAAGTGGGCTAACCCCACAAATAGTACGGGACTATCTGGCCCTGCAAAATAGCAGGGTTAGCCGGGCAATTGCGGGGTTAGCCGGGCAATTGTGGTGCTAAGCTGCGTAGTGTGAATCCGAACCGGGCTAAGGAGAAGCGGGGCTAAGCAACAGCCAATCACAGACAGCGTGGTCGTGTGGTCGTGAATTTGCATTTATCGCGCGCTATGCATGCAGTTCACATTACGCATGCATGCAGTTCACGTTACGCATGCATGCTCTCTGTATTGACGTTTAGTCTTTTACGAGGCAGAGGTCATTATGAAAAAATCTTTATTATAAAATTGATTTAAAAAAATAGTGAAAGAACATGTAGCTCATAATTTTTTATTGCATTTATCATTATCAGTCATATTTACGTAGGTAAATTTATCAAGTGAATTGGATGAAAAATGGGTAATTGATTTGTATCGGTAAAATAATAAAGGGAAAACGCTTTGCGCAAGGCTGGATAACACAACACGAGCGAGCTAAAATTATTACGTACCGTACTGTATATTGTTGGTCTTTTTACCACAAGCAAAGAGTTCGTTGACCGATATTGATTATAGTTCAATTGTTGCATTGATTGTCTCCTGATTTTAATTGTATTTACACCGGAATGACGGCTTTACCCATCAGAAGGACCAATTGGGAAGATGTTGAAATCAGGTTTTTCCTGAGTCTGTGGGCAGAGGGGGAGGTCCAGCAGCAGCTGGATGGCACGGTCAGGGCTAGGGCATTCCTTCTAGAATTCTCCCGAACTCGCCTCTTCATGAAATAGATGTTCAAGAGCAGAACGATCGCACTCAACATTTCATTCGGAGCCATGATTACTAGTATGCGTCGAGATCGAGATCGTTTACTACGTAGGCCTAGAACTACTTCCAATTCCGATCGATCGGAATTGAATTTATATTTATATTGAATTTAGCGCGCGGGTTTTTCCCCTTCATTTAGTCGAAAGGCGCATGCGCGGTAGCAAAAGCATTAATATTCATGAGCTATCGAATAGTCCGGGGCTAAGGCGAACGTAGTGTGAATCGCGTGAAATTTCTTAACCCCGGCTAAGCACATAGTCCGGGGTTAAGAAAATAGATGTGAACAGCAAAAAAAATAGTATGGGGTTAAGGATAGTATGGGGTTAAGGATAGTCCGGGGTTAAGAAAAATAGATGTGAAAAGGGTATAAGGTGAGACATAGAGATGGAGAGAGAGAGAGAGTTGTAGAACGGGAGAAAGATAGAGATATATATATAGAGACAGACTGAGACAGAGAGTGGTAGAGAGAGAGAGAGAGATAGAATGAGAGAGAGAGAGAGAGACAGAGTAAGACAGAGAGTCAGAGAGAGGTAGAAAGAGAGAGAGAGACAGAAAGAGGGAGAGAGTGGTTGATAGAGGGAGAGACAGACAGTCAGACAGACAGAGAAAGAGTGAGAGACAGAGAGATAGAGAGAGAGAGAGAGGGGAGAGAGAGAGAGAGAGACTGGCCAAGCTAAAGAGAGTGGACAGTCTCAAGTTAAACACTAGTATTGGAACACTAAAGTGAGACACAGATGGAGGGAGAAAAAGAGAGAGTGAGAGAAAGAGAGACAGAGAGAGGCAGACAAGCACAGAGAGAGAAAGAGAGAGAAGCTTTCCAATGTGATTAGGGTCTACAGCCTCAAGAGGAAAGCAATGACGGGCTAATGATATGAGTGAATATTTCAAAAAAATCAAATCCCTGCTTTCTGCTCACTTCACAGCCGTGATGGCAGCAAGAAATCGGCCGGCGCCAAATCGGGCAAGCCTCGTCGCGATCGGAATGGCAGCATCAGCAGCACCAAGAAGGGCAAAGATCAACTGGGCATCACCCCGTGTCTCTCGCCACGCTCCATGCAGCTGCTTATAGTGGCCCTCATCCTCATCATGCTCTTCTGGTGAGTAATTGGAATATGATTATTTGTTTGAACGGTTTGTTAAAGACCGTCAATACTACTGGGCTAGAAGGGATTAGAGAACACAGCGGGGTCACTGACAGGTGGCTATCTCATTAACTCAGCTCTCAACTAACGTAAGAAAAAGAGGATCATGGGGGACCAACAGGCACCGATTGGGGAAGTTTTCTATATAGAGGGAGCAGGTAGCTACAAGTAGGACAGTGGGGCTTTAACACATCCCTATGCCTTTCCACGGTAGATTGTGTTTCAAGGAATAATCATGTTCCCCACCTTAGTGGTGTGTGGCAAATATAGATTAATGTCATGCCATTATCTCAATCACCATCATCATCATTAACATCATCAAAGTCATCATCATCGTCAACATTATCATCAACGTCTTTATCGTCGTCGTAATGGTCATGATTATCGTCATCCATTATCATCATCATCAACAACAACAACTTCATCGATCATCATCGATCATCATCATCATCATCCTTATTATCATCATATTTAACATCATCATTATCATCATCATCATTATCAACATTATCATCATCGTCATCATTATTATCCTCATCGTCGTCATCATTTTTATCATCATCGTCATTATTATCGTCATCGTCGCCATCATTATTATCATCATCGTCATCATTCACCATCATTCATCATCATTCATCATCATCATAATCATTCATCATCATCATCATCATCATCATCATCATCATCATCATCATCATCATCATCATCACCACACCATCATCATAACCATCATCATCACCACCAATCTCAGCTTCAACACACTATGTCAATATGATCCTGATAAAAACCTTATTTCAACTTCGTATCTTTCAGCTTTGCTGCCATCGCAACTCTCTACATAATGGAAACTAACGACGATCCAGCCACAATGCTGTAAGTTACATCTATGTTTGTATGTTTGTTTGTTTGTTTGTCCTGACTGCTATTGGCATGTGTATGCTAAAGCAACCAGGTGACCAACGGCTTTAAGTCCTCTCTGAGGGGACTTGGTAATGAGGATTAATGCCTTACCAAAGGCACTAGCGCAACGACTTTTAGAAACATGTTTCCATTTCACACAAAACTTGCTAGAAAACACATCAGTAGCATCGAATTTGAAAGTGTCTTGATGTATGGTTGATATGAATAGAGAAATTAGATTGAATTAATTTCCTATTATAGAGTACGTTGTTTATTTGATGAGGTTTACAAACATTCATGAGTTCCATACACAGTTTATTTCACAATGCAATCATATGCCTAGAGCACTGTTCTTTTAATAAAGAGTTGCGATTGATCCAGATTGGTCCTAAGTATTCCAATCAATCTTAAACTTACAAACTCATCTGTATTTAGAAGAGAATTGCAATCAATATCAAGAGCAGCAATTAGATGGAATCGATCCGTTCCATTCCATTCTCTTTTTTGTAAAGCTGCAATACATTATTTTTACCTTTCATTGCGATTGATGGTTGTTTTGTTTTCAGGTCTAAGGCCCCAACAATGATCAACATGACGACACAAGGTCTCAAGACTTCCACAGTTCTCACCACTACGCTTGAGATGTCCAAAGGTATGTCTCGTTTCTTGTGTTTGTATGCCTAAAGGCTCATTCAGATATGATGCGGTCAACCACCACAAACTAATAACCTCTTTTATAGTGAATTGTTGCAACTTACAAGTTGTTAATATTATGGAGACAGATGCAGAGATGCCAACCAGTACGATGTTATCGTATTTAGTACGATAAAACAAGTGAAATACGAGAATACGATATTGCCTTTGAAAATACGATTTTTCATCTTTAAAAACAAAAACATTGAACAACAAATAGCCTACATGGGCAGGAAATACATAACAATTTTCTCATTAAATGTTAATGAAAGAGCAAACATTTTACTTGCCCGTTCTTACCAGTAAAACAACTGTCTGACATTTTACTGGCCCAGGGCCAACTGGCCAGTGGCAGTGTCAAGTTTTTGTGAAAATCTGATTTTTGTAAGGATATTCAGTCTGTATTTTTGTGACGAGAGGCTGATGAAACAGTACTCTCATCCCATTAGTGTGGTTTTTTCTGAACTTTCAAGATTGTCAATATATTCATTTGACTATGAAATTAGATACACATCGTATTATTAAGTTAATGCTATTCTCTTTTTGTTGCAGTGCCTACAGCTGCTCCAGTGTATTGCTGCAATCCTGTTGCAGAGGTGACCATCTTACCCCCGCTCATAGCCAACATAGCAGCTCTCAATTCAACATTCCATCCACAAGGTAAGAATGCTCCCCGGGGAGTGGAGAACGTGCACACATTGTGTACGGGTAAGTCTGAATCCCATGACCGGGGTTACGGGTAATAACATATCTGTAAAGCGCTTAGACACATTGTTGTATCAATGTTAATGGGCGCTATTTAAAAGTGGAATATTATTATTATTATTATTATTATTATTATCCTATCGTAAAACCACAAACTATCGCGACGTGAAACTTTCATGAATTAATCACGGTCTGCTATTTTTTCCCCCAATTCAACATTCCCTTAATGCATCACTATTAAAGGTTTCAAGCTACTGTTAATCCAGAATCTTTTGTGACATTTCACTTTCATGTAAGTTAGAGATGTTTTTTCTTGTTATGCCTCCGCCACCGAAGGTGGTGCCGGAGGCATCATGTTTTCGGGTTGTCCGTCCGTACGTCCGTACGTCCGTACGTCCGTCCGTCCGTACGTCCGTCCGTCCGTCCCGTTTGACCGTTATCACAATATCTCAAGAACCATTTAAGATTTAAACTTAAGACTCGGGAATAGTATTTATCACCATAGGAAGACGATCTGATTAGATTTTGGAGTACGTAGGTCAAAGGTCACAGGTCACAGAGGTCAACTTATGAAATTCCTTGTATTGAGTTTGTTAGCGCGATATCTCAAGAACCATTTGAGATTTAAACTTCAAACTTAAGGATAGTATGTATCACCATAGGAAGACGATCTGATTAGATTTTGGAGCACGTATGTCAAAGGTCAAGGGTCACAGAGGTCAACTTATGAAATTCCATACATTGAGATTGTTATCATGATATCTCAAGAACCACTGGAGATTTAAACTTCAAACTTAGTGATAGTGTGTATCACTATAGGAAAACAATCTGATTAGATTTTGGAGCACGTATGTCAAAGGTCAAGGGTCACAGAGGTCAACTTATGAAATTCCATACATTGAGATTGTTATCATGATATCTCAAGAACCACTGGAGATTTAAACTTCAAACTTAGTGATAGTGTGTATCACCATAGGAAGACGATCTGATTAGATTTTGGAGCACGTAGGTCAAAGGTCAAGGGTCACAGAGGTCAACTTATGAAATTCCATACATTGAGATTGTTATCATAATATCTCAAGAACCACTGGAGATTTAAACTTCAAACTTAATGATAGTGTGTATCACCATAGGAAGACGATCTGATTAGATTTTGGAGCACGTAGGTCAAAGGTCAAAGGCCACAGCGCACATTATGAATGCAAAAACAGCTTGTGATCGCGTTATCTCAAGAACCGATTGATGGATTCATGCCAAAATTAGGTCATGTTTGTTACTTGCAGAGCCAATGAACTGAGTAGATTCTTGGTTCATAAGGTCAAAGGTCAAAGGTCATGGGCCCATTATGTATGCAAAAATAGCTTGTGAACGCATTCTCATTAGAACTGACAGATGGATTACTATTTAACTCAGAACATCTTGCAGAGCCAATGAACTGAGTAGATTTTATGGTCATGAGGTCAAAGATCAAAGGGTCATATATGTATATGAGAAATTGCTTGTAATCACAATATTCTGAGAACCTGTCAATGGATTACCATTGAACGTGAATTCAATTTTTTTTTTTCTGTTTTGGTTTGTAAAATTGCTCTATAACGGAGGCATCATTTTCGACTGCGCGCAGTCGAATTCCATCTAGTTTTTACATATTTCATTGAAAAATGAAGAATCTCTTCACATGACCATAGTGCGTTCTGGTACCTCTACTGCTAGTCATAGTCATAGTCAATTCAAAAGATTTGTCATTCATAGAGAAACATTAATAAATGTCATGTAAAAATAATAATATTGATAGTGGATTTTTGTATAGCGCTCATTTCTGTTTGACTTGACACTCCTGGCGCTCCACAAATCTTACCACGGCTTTAGCTCAGCTGCCATTATGTCACCCCAGCATATGTAGTATATAGACCAAGAACTAGATAGTTTATTCCTCAGCACTACATCCTGACTCATGGATCCTGCTGAGTATCGTCGTAGAAGTAGAATTAGAAGTAGCATTGTACAGTAAAACCTGTCTATAAAGACCATTCAAGGGAAACAAGAAATATGTTCTTTGTAGACAGGTGGTCTTTGTAGGCAGGTGGTCAATAAAGCAGGTTTGACTGTTGTATGGATGCTCTGTAGAGAATCGTCCAATAGAAACCATATCCAAATTGCTCTGGAGCATTAACTTATACCTCCTTTTCCACCATTCCACCTGCAGCTCCGCCCGTTCTGGCCACCCCTCCCGCACAGGGCGTGCCCCTGAGCACCACCGTCACGGTCCCATCTGGACCTGTCATCGAACCTGTAGCCCCGCCCGTTGATGTACCCGATGGCATGCCTATGAACGGCAGCACTGGGACGGGGGAGATGGGGTCGGTCAACATGCAGACAAGGAGGAAACGGTCAGTGCCACGCAGGAAGAAGAGGATGACAACTATAGGTGAGGATGGCAAAGAGTAAGCCAGTATGGGCAGATCAAAGGTCATTTGTACAAACCTCAAAACCCTAGATAGAGATCGTACGCTTGATCATGTAATTGAAGACAAGTCCAAAACAATCTTGGAACCAGCTGGAATTTAACCTGCCAACTACTGCTTGCTGGGCAGTGACTCTACCACCAGGCCATCACTGGTCCATGGCACAGTCACGACGAACTGCAAACAATTACCTCAGCTCTCCTGACTCAGGCCGCCATTAGGACAATAAATAGCTTTGAATGTTGCGCTTCCTGGGATAAGATTTAATTGTTGTAAAGAAATGTTTTGGCTTGCACCAACTTTATTTCTATTTCTCTGACCTTGATTGCTTTTTCAGGTATCGACGTGAATTTCATCCAAATCGACAGGAAGAAGACGATCTGCCCAGAGCAATGTGCTTCAGAGACCGACTGTGGCGAATCCTGCATTGCCACTGCGTAAGTATGACAAATAATAATAGTTTTTGCTTATATATTAGCCCTTAATACATCGGCAACGTCCAAGTTACTAAGCGCTTTACATTATTACCCCGGTCATCGGATTCTGCCTTGCCCACACACAATGTATGCACTTTCTCCACTCCCTGGGGAGCATTCCAGCAAGAGCTACCAGGCTCAAATTGCTAAGCGTACTACATTGGCTTTCGCATCCTACCGGGTATCCATTTAACACCTGGGTGGAGAGTGGCAAATGTAGATCAATCTCTTGCCAAAGGACATTAGTGCCGCGGCGGGACTCAAACCGAAGACTTTGTCATCGAAAGTCTGGTGACGTATTCACTCAACCACAAAAAAGACAAAGGCATACCCTGACACTAAGTTTCACGCAAGGGGCTCAAGATAATTCAAACTCTTCCAAGTCTGTATGCAAGAGCCCTACGTAAATATTTTGGAATTTGCGGGTCCAGACTCAGATTTCTGGGCACACCATGTGTCTAGGGCGCATGTTAGTGTCAGCCCTGTCTAAGTGTCTAAGGCCTCTTTCGGTTTTCAAAGCTTTAGATTTCAGATTTTAGAGAGCTGTTACTCCTCTGACAGACACTAAAATAGCATATATTGATATTATTGTAATGTATATGGCTTATAAGCTTTCTGTTGATATATTATTTGCCTTTATGCATATTTATTTTATACAAAAAACTCCACTTAGGCCTACACAGAGAAAATTAATTTTTTAAACTGAATTGGAGTATATCAGAACAAATCTATGATTTGTTTGTTTTGTCTTATTTCTCCACAGGAATGGAAACTTCACCTACGACATTTCAGTCGGTGCTCACTTCCCAGTACGTTTCACAGAGCTCTATCTGAAGTAAGTATGAACAACACAGGATTTGTGCGGTATGGAAATTGCCAATTTAGAGATTTTAATGATTAGTTACAATTAGATTGCTTTTTATTCAAGAACAGTAAAACATACTGCATTGGAAATGAGACTCAAAATTTTCTCTGATTTTTTTCTCTTTCTGCTCATGTATAATGTAGTATGAAAATTGCTATTTTTTACATGAAAATAGTAGTAATACAATTTCACATTACATTGCCAATTTAAAAACTTTAATGATTAGTTCCAATTAAATTGCTCTTATTCAAGAACAGCACAGCATACTGCGTTGGAAATAATTTACATTAAAAGAGTAAATATAAATCTCAAATTATATTGCCAATTTAGAAACTTTAATGATTAGTTACAATTAGATGGCTCTTATTCAAGGACAGTACAACATACTGCGTTGGAAATAGACTCAAAATGTTCTGTGAATTTTGCTCTTTTTGCTCATGTATAATGTGTTATAGAAATTGCCATTTTTACATGAAATTAGTAATTATACAATTTCATATTATATTGTAAATTTAGAAACTTTAATGATTAGTTGCAATTAGATTCCTCTTATTCAACAGCTCAAAGTTTATGTAATATCATATGAATATGGTGTCCATGTAAAGCCGGTAAATAGAGAAATGTATAGTAAACAAAATTTTTGGAAAAAAGCAACATAAACAGGAACGATTCTGGGAGGGCACTACTATATAAGTTCATTGCATAAAAATCTTCAACAGATAATTTCATCTTCCATGTGTGTAGTAGAAGATCTCATACCTACCTTACATGAACGAACACCATCATTTTTTTTGCCCCAACTTTATGGAATGACCCAAATGTAATACAGGAATTCCAGTTTTCAGGCAATAGCCGGAAATCAGGCCCTGGCAAGTTATTTCAGACCATAGTTTAGGCTTTTTGTGTACAAAATAGCTCATTCTAGGTGATTTTCAGGCCCTCTGATCAATTCTAACTGGTATCCCTGGTAATATTATTATTATTATGTATTGACAGTACGAGTGAGGAGTCTATGATGGTCCTCTGTTCATGGACCGCTGCATCTATGTGCACAGAGCCAATAGAGACCTTTGAGGCGTCTTCACAGCCAGTCAAATCTGCAATGGTCAGTGTTCAGGTCAGTTAAGGTCACTTTTGATCGATCTCTCTCTCTCTAAGTGCCATATCGTTTGACTTTGGCGATCATGCTGTTCCACAACCCTCGGCTCCTAGCCTTCTCTATTAGCACCATTCCCAGTTCTTTCACTCCTCTCTCTTCCAACAATTTCTGCATACTGTCCATCCAAAGTATCCTCCTTCTTCCCCTAGTGCTCTTTCCCACAATTTTCCCTGTCAAAGCAAGATTTCCTAGGCCTTCTTTACGTGTAATGTGACCCATGAACTTCAACTGCCTAATCAATATCTCGCGTATCATTTTCCTTCGCACTTCAGTTCTTCCAAGAACTTTCTCATTACTCACTTTATATAATATGTTCATTAAAAATTTACAAAGGCAACAAAATAAACTAAGTAAATTCGGTCGTGAAATAGAGAGTTTCACAGCGAAAGAAGTTTTAATTTCTTTAGTGAGTAGTCCCCTTGACTGATGTTTCATTGTATCTTTATATTTCAGAGTCTTGTGCACGTTTGGCAGCTACCGGTTGGAGCATATCAGAGCAGTCTTTACGTGTTTCGTATCGCGCCTGCTATGATTCAGGTTAGTTTTATACAGGCATCGTATGGTGCGTTTACACTGCAATCCAAAATCATTGATTTTTCTGTTGTTTAGCCGGCAAACAACGAAATATTGAAATAAAAAAAATCTGCCTCTGGAGTGTGTTTTTTATTTAACGATTGCAGAAGTTTCACAGATTTTTCTGAAGGCAAACTTTGGTAAGATACCATGTTTTGCTTACCTGACTCTCCTCACTTCCATGCTAACGCATGCAGAGCACTGACGAGTTGCGCGTGCGCACTACCGTTAATCAATAACAAAAATCAGTAGGAGCCATTTTCGACTTTTTTATGCCTCCGCTACAAAGTAGCCGGAGGCATTTTTATTTCTGGTTGTCTGTACGACCGTAGGTACCGTTCTCGGGATCACGTTATCTCAAGAACCGATTGATGGATTACCGCCAAACTTGGGTCATGTATGTATCTTGCAGAGCTAATGAATTGATAAGATTTTGGAGTCACGAGGTCAAAGGTCAAAAGCCACAGGGCTCATTATGTATGCAAAAATAGCTTGTGATCGCGTTATCTCAGAATCCGATGACCAGGGTAATAATGTAAAGCGTTTAGAAACTCGGACATTGCTGATGTATTAAGCGCTATATAAGCAGAAATGTTATTATTAATATTATTATTATATTGGTAAAGGGAAAGAGAAGAACTTTATTTTTTGCCAATCTGAAACTTTTATTTTCACAACAAGAAAGTATTTGAACTGCAAAGACTTAAGCAGAGATGCCAACCAGTATGATTTTATCGTATTTAGTACGATAATAAGTGTGAAATATGAGTTTTTGTGAAAATCTGGTTTTTCTCTCCAAAATCTGATTTTTTAAGGATATTCAGTCTGTTTTTGTTGTGTGTCAAGAGGTTGGCATCTCTGCTCAAGGTTGTAACATACTGATTTTGTGTCAAGAAAGTGTTTGCTTTTTGACTTTACATAGTAAAGTACAGTCAAGCCTGCTATAGTGACCACCTGTCTACAAAGACCACATTTGTAGTTTCCCTTGCAAATGGTTTCTCATTGAAACAGGTTTAAAACCAGCTGGCTGATCTTACTTTCACATTCTTACTGTCCGAACCTCGCGAGTCTTCTCATTCTATTGTATCCCAAGTTGGCCACTCAGTATTCAAATTTGCATTTCTTTCTTATTTAAAATCTTTATATATCAATTTGAAATTTAACTACCACATAAGTCTGTGAATATTGATGTGCATCCCCTCTTTCTTTTCTCTTCTTTTTTCCGTCTTTTCCCCTTTTACCAATTTTTTGTTCCTCCATATTTGTATTATTATGTATCCTTTGAGGGTAGTCATACTATCAAGCTTTGCTTATTTTGTCAACCCTCCTGTTTGATGTTCTCGATTAGTTACACCCAGCCTTACTTTATTCTACATATATTCTTTTGTCATGTGTAAATTTGCAATATTTGTTTGTTATATATTTGTAAAAATGCAAAAGAAAAAGAAAATCAAACAGAAATAAATAAATCAAATCAAATCAAACAGAACCTGTCTATAAAGACCACTTTTTGTGTTTCCCTTGGGCAGTCGCTATAGACAGGTTAGACTGTAGCTAGATATGATTCGATTCATATAAAGTGGTTTAATTTTTGTTCTCTCTTGTTTTGTCTCTGTCTGTATTTTCCCCTTTTTGACCTAACATAGTAAAGTAGCTAGATATGGCGGTATGATTACCATATGCATCGATTCATAAGTGTTTTTATATTTTTTCTCTCTCTCTCACCTTCTGTCTCTGTCTTTATTTCAGGATACATCCTCCATCTGCAGACTTGAGAACCAATACCTGGGAGAAGAATATCTGGAGTATCGATTCAACTTCACACGTGATCTGTCTCTCTGTTCTGCTTAGAATCGAGACGAAACATGTCCGCAGTTTCTGTACCGGTCAAACGATCCCACAGAAAATTTGGTGGAATCCTTTCAGGCGGTTTTATTCTTTAAAAGGGTTAAACTTTAGAGATGATATTTTTGGAAATGATTGGAAGATGGGTGTAGAATTTGTGATATCTGTAAAACACATGGTACTGGTCACTATATCCTTTCAAGTGATATTAAAAAAATGGGTAAACTTCAGAGATGATATATTTTTGGAAATGATTGGAAGATGGGTTTAGAATTTGTGATATCTGTAAAACACATAGTACTGGTCAGTCGATCCTTTCAAGTGATATTAAAAAATGGGTAAACTTCAGAGATGATATATTTTTGGAAATGATTGGAAGATGGGTCAGAATTGATGATGTCCGTAAATCACACAGTACTGGTCAGTCGATCGCAATCTTACTTCAATCATTTTCTAATCGAGAAAATGTTGAAGTAGTGGGGCAATAAGCTGTGAAAAGTGTTGCAAGCTGCATTGGATCAGTGACGTTCTGCTTTCAAATGGTTAAAGAAAAAAGAAAGGGGCAGATTGTCTCGAAAATTTCTCAGAAATGTACACTCATGGAAGTCTATATTCACCTTTTGTCGAAAAAGTTCCATGAGCAAATTGTGAAATTTTATGATCAGTGATTGCCTTTTGTAAATAGATATATCATGTACACCATATACAAGTACTTGTAAGTTTTTTGAAAATAGAAAAACAATTAATATTAGATCTCTTACAATGCAGTACTTCTTCTTTGTATATTTCTTCAAGATTTTATAATGGGCTAGCCATTTCCAAATTGTATATTTTTTATTAAGAGAAAAATAGTTATATCTTGCTTTGGTTTGAGTGATAATGCAACGTACAAGCCTTGCATTAGTGGAGGATAATTGAGATAGCAAAAATTTGGTTTCTTTTGGAATAGATCTCCCTTACATGGGTGGTGTAAATGATTTTACCGTCTTGTCATCATGCACAACATTCATTGTACTTTCCAACTTGGGAATATAAAAGTAGTTGTGTTTGTTACAGGGATGTATGCTATTAACATGTATACTATTAACCAAATGACATTCATATTATTTTGGGAATGATGTATCAAATATCGCTCTCACAAAATAAAAGTAATTGTGATTGTAACAACGTTAAAAGCACTAAAAAAATAGTAATTATTTTTTGGGGGACATTGTTTTGAATTGAGATAGGGAGTAAAGGTGAGCACAACATAAAATATGTATATCAAAGTCATAATTTTCAAGTTTTTTTTCTTCAGGAATCAGCAGTACTAGTGTCATCTATGTGAAGTACTCAATCTTTTTTTTTTGTACTTCTGGTATCTGTAAAAATATTGGAGAAATCTACTTAAGAACATGAATATGTAATGAATCTTCTTTTTTGAAGAAGAGGAATGTTGTTCTAGAGTTTGAGTCTGATTACTGAGCTGCTCTTATGACATTAGGCAGTTGCACATTCCAAATTGAAATACATGTCTTTCAATGATGTATCACACCGTTAATTGAAAATGTTTATAATTTTGCAATTAGAACTTCTGTGACCAAATATGTCAAAATGTGATATATCAGTATCTGAGGCCTTGTCATATCAAAATAAGAACAAATGAAAAGAAAGAGTTCCTTCATCCAATGCTTTTATAATTTAACTCTCCCAAGTCGATAATGAAAAATGCAGTTGGTCGTTCCTTTGTAACTTTAAACTAATTGCCCAATTTTCAAGCTTTTTAGCGATTCAAGTCGGTAGCTCTATGGAAAACAGCCATACAGATACAAAAAAGGAAAAAAAAGAAGAAGGAACAAAAATGCCTTATTTTTGTAGAAGCCCTTTGGACTTTCACATTGCTGGACAGGGAGTTGTTAGAAACAATAACAAGACAAATAACTTGATTGACAAAAGACTTATTGAATGTGTGATTTTTATACCATTTTTAATGGCTTCATTCTAAATTTTTATCCGAAATTGAATGTATATATTGAATATTTTGCTACACCTTTGTATAATCATTATATACACATGTATGAATTTTTTGAGGTACTGTATAAGCTGTGATTTTCCCTGGGGTCTATTTTCGTGAATTTCGCCAATCACTTGTTGATTGCGAATTTAACAACTTGCGGAATTGTTTCTAGCAAGTAATGTTGCATGTCAAAATCACTAATACTTGTATTAGCCCCGCTGCATTTCGCATACGGTGTCTACATACTATAGCATGAACCATATCACCGGGTCTGTGGCCCAGATGAGCCCACTCTGATCCTAATGGGTACTTCAATTGATTATTTTCATTTAAGATCCACGGTAATGGAATGATGATCATTGAGAAGTATATCATTAGTAGAGATTATTGTTTCAAGCGAATTTGAAAACTCGTGAGTTTGTCCTAAGACCTTTGATCTGCGAAAAAATCTTTACATGAAAATATTGGCTTATACTGGTAACTGTTGTATCCTCGTACTTAAACTTTTTTTTTTAGATTGAGCGATATATTTACATTATATGTGTTACGTAGAGATGTGGACGTATTTTAATCCTTTCAGGACTGGATATTTTTTAAAGGACCAAATTGATCACATTCTCATCTTAGTCAATATTTTAGTTCAATAATTAGTGCATAAGGTCGGTAATTCACTACTCGCAAGATATGAAAGCTTTATATCAAATTCACCCGGATTATTCAAACTTTAACTTTATACCTTTATTTTAGAGAGAGAATTATCCTTAAAATTGTTCTATATATTCATTTATTTTCTGATTTATAAAATGCATTTAACATGCAGTATATATTTCCTAAATATATTATATAAAGCAATTATAAATAATTTGTGTGTCGTACATGTTAAATCATAAATGTATCAATGTACTTTCTAAAATCTTTATATTTGTACATAAAATTTTAAGAAATTAGATAACAAAGTGATTTATTGACAAGATTTAATAGCTAAATCAGACTTTTTATGAGAAATTTGCTTGTAGGAAATAATCAAAGGCTGCAAAATTGGGAAATGATGTGTACTTTTTACAATCATGCTTGGTGAAGGGTCTTTTATTTCAAACGCGCATAGGGTTCATGTACTTTGTGAGGATTTATGTTTGAAAAATCATGGAAAATAATTGGCATAGTTTTCTCACATTCATAAAAACAAACATATGTTTACAAGTCGAGTTGAATTAGTGTACATGACGTGATTCAATGATCTCAGCTACCTGTAAGTTGTTTCTTCTTTAAAGAATTAATTAGTAAAGAAATCACCTAATTTGGTCCATTTTGTCATTAATTCAGAGACATTTCTCACAAGTATAAACTTTTTGCTGAATTGAGATATCTGTTAAAATCTTTAAAGTTGTAAAATGAGAGTTTTACAATGTGGTATGTTTAGCTCTCTCCTCAAGGGGAAGTATTCTATCTTTTGTAAACTTCTCACAATTGTGTTTATTGTGATCACGTCCGTAAAATATTTGTTCAAACTTTATATCCCATTCATATAAGATATATATGTTAACATTCATGTACTTAAAGAAACCAAATATTAAAAGGGAGATGGTCGTCAGTTACCATGTGCAGAAGGTAATAATTCGCTGACACCAGACTTAGTGGAAATACCATTGATGAATGTACAAGTCTGCACACAGCAAACCCGCAGTCCCATCAAGAAATACCCTTAGTCTCAGAGAGTCTTTGGGTGAGGGGAATGGAATATAATAAATTTACCATATGGGGGATAGGTGGAAAAAGAAGAGCATTACATAAGGCCTGTTTGTCAGAACACTGAAGGCTTATCCTGGTGATTGACAACACCTGTTATTGGGTTAATACCCGATTGGTGTCGAATTCCCCATGAGAGCCCACTACTATGCATCTTAAACACCAATTTTGGCCCTGGTTTCGCTGCATATGGCGTGTACCTGTTCTGTTCTTTGAATCCCTTGTTTATCTTACTTTGTTAGTCTGGTAATTAAAAGATAGGTTTTTATTTTTTGACCCATGCCTCCATTAAACCATCCCTTTGATGTGATAGCTGAATGCGTGTCTACTCTGTGTTTTTATTCAGTCAAGAGAGTTTTGGGTGATGAAAAATGGATTGGTATTAAGTGAATACATGTAGGCCATTCATTTAATGAAATCAAATCACTGTACATGTAAATGCATACCTTTTCATCAAGTATCTAGTACCAGAGAAGGAGGAGAAGAAGAAGGAGAAAGAGAAGAAGAAGGAGAAAGAGAAGAAGAAGGAGAAAGAGAAGAAGGAGAAAGAGAAGAAGGAGGAGAAGAAAAAAAGGAGAAGAAGAAGATACATTTATAAAGCACAGATACTATGCAAGTATATTCAACTCCTTTGCAAGAGCTGATATGGTTCAAATCTGCAATATAAAGTTGAGAGGGTGTGCTTTTAGTTTTTATCTCAAAGTACTTTATCTCAAAAACACTTTTACATGTTGTCGCTGAAACTCTCTCTCCCCACATCAGAGCCTCCTTTAGTTCTTTCTCCATCCCTCTCTATCTTCAACTTTCTTCTTTATTATGCTATATGATCTGTCACCTACCAAGTCTGACACCATCCAATGCTTGGTCTTCCTCTTCCCCCGTTTACCATCCATCTTCCATTCCAAGATGTCCCTGAGCATATTATCCTCCCCCGTAAGATGTGTTCTATCATGTTTTTCTTTTATCTCCACATTTTTCTCAAGCTCTTTTGTTCATTCACTCTATCCAGCACTTAAAGTGAATGAGCAAAGAAGTTTGAGAAAAACAGTCAAGACCCTGTTTCATAAAACTTCTTACCAATATCGAGTTACAATAACTGTTCAAGTTTACTGAAAACATGGCATTTAATTGGCTGAGAGTAACTTTGTCATAGGAATTGAGCATTTGTTATTGATCACTTGTTATTGATAACAAGTTTTATGAAATGGACAAAACAATCTGGAACTTTTATTTTGTATTTCAGATGAAAATGTTCAACTTCATTACGAGACCAGTTGAAATTAATGCAATATGGAAGACTATATTTGAAAAGTTACGTAACTAGTATTTCATTACATACGTCTTTAATATAATTTCAGCATGTACATGATCATGTATGTCCTTTACAACGATCTCACACACATCAAATACAGATAATTTCTACACGGCTAACATCTATTAGAAATCTGTGCACGATACCCGGTACATCTTTTTCACTGATCCGTTTCTCTCATTTATCTCCCATATGGTCACCGTGACGGCATATGGTAATTACTAACACAAACGCTTTCTTCATCCTACCAGGTCCCCATATCTCTCCTGGGTATGGAGTGGCAAACATAGATTAATGCCTTGCTAAAGGACATTAGTGCCGTGTTCGGGATCTTTGCTTTTCTAGTCAAAGTGTTAAAAGCACACAACTACGAGACCTCAACATATCGATTGACACAATGTATGACACATTCTCTAGCAGCAGTGGTAAATATCTTACACTTAACTAATTAAATTAATAACTTCAATTGCTATACCCAAACCTTAACCAGATACATTATCTACAACCAATTAAAAGCATTCCTCACAATAATCCTATATTTGACAAAATAACATCTATGAGTCAATGAGGCACAAGAAAATGGTTCACCTATTTTGCAAGAAAATATTTCCAGCCACTGAAATGTCCAATTTCCATTGGAAATAATCTCCTCGTACCGGTACTTAATTTTTCCACAAAAGGAAAGAAATTACATTCATATGAAAAAGCAATTTCGCTGTTCAATTTTTTCTTTTGCCATTCATCTTAATAATAAATTCACATCAATCTTTACAACTTTACAGTATCAAAAATAAGCTCCTACTACAAACTCTGTGCACATCTACAGGTGTATGTCAAACATTCTTCAGAAGCATATGGCTGTTTTAACAATTTGTCTATGATATAAAGCCTTGCTGAGCCCCAAGCCTACAAACATGGATCAAAAATGACATTTTACAATACAATTTTCTATCCAAGCCCATGTTTCATTGCTTATCTTGATACCCTCATTTTTCCATGATTTCTTACTTCACAATTTCAGAACTCAAGTAGAAAGACAAGTGTTTTTGTCCATAAATATTATGGGAACAAAATTATTTGCTCCATAAAAAAAAAAATATATGATGCAATGTGCCTATGGCAGTGATACCATTGGTTGATCAAACCTGCAATGCTGACTACCTTTATCCTTAAAACAGAACAAGCCATGCGATTACAGTGCAAGCCTTAGAGTGGCCACCTCTCCAGAAAGGCCACCTGTCTAGAGTGATCATCTATACATCTATTGCTTCCTCTAGAAAGCATATATGTCTTGCAGAACTTGTTTGGAAATGCAAGCTGTATACAGTGAGTATCTTTCATCTGCTTTTCTTAGAAAGCCTTCCAGAGGTAAAGGACAGATGCAACGTCAGTACTGCGACGCTACCTACACCGTCCCTACCCTATCTAATCTAAAAGCTTCCCTAAATGGCCTATCGACTCGATGTAAAGGTCTGGCACCAATTCCCTCTCCTTCTCTTTCTCGCTCCCTTGGTAACCGAGGATCTCTTCCTCACTCGTCACTCCCGTCAGAACAGCCAGCGTCTTCAGTCCACAGTTCTTGCCGAGGAGGATGTCTGTGTTCAGGCGGTCTCCAATCATTATGGTCCGTTCAGGGTTGACATCAAATCTATGTTACAAAAAAATAATAATGAAAACAATATATGTTTCAGGCAATCTCTGATCACTGCAATTTGTTCATGCAGAGTCGACGTCGAACCTATGTTTCAGAACAAATTATTAAAACCATGTAAGCTTCAGGTAATCAACAATCTTTATGGTTTAATCAGGGCTTAAGTCAAACTTACTATACATTTCTAAATTGAATGAATGAATTTATCAAAGAAATGTTTTCATTAAATTCAATTTAATTTACATGCATTTGTCCATAAAGTCACATGAGTACATCTATATACAGTGTATCATTTCGAGTATCTAATGATACTAACAAAAAATCAACAATTATCCCATGACAAGGGTATATAAAATGTTCATACATGTAACTAGTTGCCCTGCTGAATTTTTCCTTGGTACAATTTCTACAGAATTTATAATGGAAAGAGGAAACATAAACTTACTTTTCTTGGATACATTCGAACATGAACTTGCTAGGTTTACCAAGAGTCGTTGCAGTCCTGTTTGAGGCAACTTCTACAGGCCGCACTAGTGAACCTGTGCCTGTGTTTCGAGAATACATGGAAAACAGAAAAATACAGACATAATTCTATTTAATGTATTTATTTTCCCAATGTATGTTCAATGGATATTTGTTTGGCCCACATGTTAAATAAAGGCTCAGACATAATAATCAGAAAAAGAATACAAAACGTTGATTAATTATGTGATGACAAAATAATAATGATACATAATATTTAATTTAACGTTTGATTACGGCTTGTTTCATTTCCTTAAATTTCATAATTTAGTCGTCTTCATGCATAATTATATATATGTTTTAATTGAATTGAAATATACAATGGAATGGGTTTATGAAGACAGATTTTCTTGTCTTCCTTTACATTTTTGCTTTGTCACCTTACTTTTTAAAACTTTACCAATAATATAATCAAACAGGATTGACAAAACATACTTGAGATACTTATCAATTCCTCAATATTCTGCTTTTAATGAAATCATATAAATCATTGTGCATATGATTTGAAAAAGACTAAACAGGATCTGACAGATATACATGAACATGTACATGTATACTGAATGAGAGAAAGAGACAGACAGAAAAAGGGAGAGACAAGCAGAGAGAGAGAAAAAAAAAGAGAGAGAGTGAGGAGAGAGAAAGAGAAAGAGAGAGAGAAGAGAAAGAGAAAGAGAGAGAGAGAGAAAGAGAAAGAGAGAGAGAAAGAGAGAGAGAGAGAGGAGAGAGAGAGAGAGGGAGGGGGGGGGGGGGGGGGGGGGGGGGGGGGGGAAGAGAGAGAATTTGAGAGGAAGAGTCAAGAGCACAATAGATGTACCGGTAACAAGAAATTGTCTTGGCCAACAGAGTATTAAACACAAAATGCAGTTAAGATAAAACAGGAAAACAGACAAATACTATCCATCATAATGATAAGATTGCAGGGCCTTCAGAGAGAACAGTATTGATACTGATGAGGCTACAAGACATATTGGCCCGAATTCACAAAGGAGGTTTAGATTTAACCCAGGCTAAATCGCGTCATAATACGTCATAACCCCGAGCTTTAGACCATGGGTCATTATTTTGGTATTCACAAAGGAAGTTTAGATTTAACCCAGGCTAAATCGCGTCATATTACGTCATAATTTTAGCCTGCTCAGAAGGGTGGTTTAAACAGCGGGCTAAATCTAACCCACGGTTTAACCCACGGTTTAACGCGTCATATGACGTCATACCAGCGAGCTTTGGCTTTTTAGCGCAGACGACCGTACAAATTTTGTTGACAAATTTGTGGTGAAACAAAGTGAAGAGACCTTCACAAAGTTGCTGTTTTTTTCAACTTTGATAGCCTACATTGTAAGTATTTTTAGTTATTCACAACATATTTGTACCATATTCTCAGTTCTGCTACAATGGAAGCCCAATTGAACATGATTTATATGCGTAAAAAGTGCACGAATAATAATCTTCATCGTAAGTTGCACAGCCTTTGCGAACATTGTCGCAGAACCTAACGCAGCTCGGACCCATGCGTGTGTATTTGTGTTGTGTTGTTTATGTAATCCTGCGAGGCAAGGCAATTTCGCAATAACTGCGAATGTGCCAGCTAACAATACGAAATTAGTTATAACATCACACAATTGTGTGATTCGGGAAGAAAAATATGTTAATCATGACATTTGAGACATTCCTGGCCTCGGGGGGGGGGGGGGGGGGGGGGGGGTAGCGACAGTTCCATTTGTATTTTCTGCTCTGCTGATGCTGCTTCTCATCTGACTAACGCGTAGGCCTAACGGAGAACGAAAAATGCCGAAATGAAAATGAAAATTCTTCCACACTGATGGATTTTACTAGACTAGTCTAGAAGTCTAGTCTAGGCCTACTATATATACAGAGGCCTGGTCTAGACCTAGATCTAGACTAGTCTCTAGTACTACTAGGCCTACACTGACACTCAGTACTGACTGAATAAGACCTGAGCTTGAGCTCGAAGTCGGTGGCAGTGAGACACGCAAACACGACGTGGGCCTAGGCTAGATCTAGATGATAGATCTAGGCCTAGACTCTAGGTCTAGATCTATCTAGATCTAACGTTAGTCCTCAGTTTCAAGAAATTAGTCAAAGCACGCCAAACCATGGCATGAATTTATTATAAGTATTTTGTAAATTATTGTAAAAGATGCAGATCTAGATCTAGATCTAGATCTAGAGGTCTAGAATCTAGACCTAGACTAGTCTAGAGTAGATCTAGAGGGTCTAGATGATAGATCTAGACTAGTCTAGTCTATTCTAGATTTAGAAATTGAAATGGAATAGGGGGCCTAAAATATTTTTCAAAATAGACCTAGGGTCCAGACCTAGATCCAGTCTAGGTCTAGTCTAGATCTAGGTCTAGACTAGTCTAGTACTCTAGACTTTCTAGATCTAGAACTAGGTCTAGGCTATATCTAGACCTAGGCCGTAGGGTCTACCGGTATAGATCTCCGGCTCTAGATCTAGAATCTAGTCTAGACCCTATAATCTAGACCTTTCTAAAACTAGTCTACTTTTCATAAATTCATGCCAAGCCCGCGCCGATGGTTTGTTGTGTTCTGTCTTGAGAAGTTGAGTGTTTGTGTGTCTCACCGTCACTGAGTTCGAGCACAAGTCTGAGCTGAATGAGAGGTACTTTGTCTTTAGGCCCATCTAGATCTAGATCTAGACTAGACTCTAGTACTGACTGTCGAATGTCTCTACACTCAACTCCTATAAATTTATACTAGTCTACATCATGATCATGTCTAGGCCTAACTGTTACTGTTAGAGTCTACATCAATACATTGTTGTAGACCTACTTGAATTTTGAAGCAAGTTTAAAATCTGTGCAAGCAAATAGCCAATAAATCAATGTGTGTTCTTCCTAATCTACATGTAATCTTAGTTAAATTTAACCTTTCACATGGGACATCAAGTGCTAATTTACATGTACATCTACATGTATCTAATTTCACATTTTATCAAGCATGAGTAGATTTTTAACAAAACATGACAGGAATTGGCCCCTACGTTCTTATGGAGGTTCAGTGACATCATCTTTTCTAATTGCCCAATAGTATGAATCAATAGCACTCATTTCTTTAATGCAATCAAAGTATCGTTAATATTTTTTTTAGAGTTTGCAAAAGCTATTCAAAATCAGATTGTCTACAATACAAAGAATGCAAAACATGTAATATCATAGGATTTATTTGATAAACAATGAATGATATTTTTTCATTTCATGTTCTAATTTTAATTCACTTTTTTCTATTTTGTTGTGACAGAGACAGCATGGCTGAATATATTCACCATCTCCGCCAGCTTGATCGGAACAGAGAGTTGATAGGCAGACCTCAGAGAGGCCTTCGTGACCCATGAACCCTTTTGAAGTGTATGGTGATGAGTCATTTCGGACCAGGTACTGGTTTTCCAAAGAGACAGCGCTCTACCTCATCAACTTGGTGGATGAAGAGCTGAGGAGGACGACAGACAGAAACGACCCAATACCTATACAGGTAGTGACAGCACTTCGATTCTATGCTTTTGGTGAGTAATTTACCTTATTTAGTATTTAGTAAATTTCTATTTAATCTGGGCTGAGCGAAAAAGTAAAAGGGTAAAATTGCGGTTACCATGTTTTGCGGGAGGTTTTTTCATAAACCGGGAGATTCTACATCAAAGCAGGAGGAAGGGCGTGGTGGCGTGAGACTCCCTCTAAATGCAAGAGGGTTGACAGCCCTGATTTAATAAAAAATCTATTCTACAATTTTAAGGACTTTAAACATTTCTCAGTTTGAGAATTTGATCTGGCCATGTAACTTGTAAGAAATTGTACTAGTTGATATTTCACTAAAAGGATTTTTTTTTTTTACAGGGTCATTCCAAAAGATGCATGGTGATGAGGCACAACTTTCACAGTCTTCTGTATGCAGAGTCATCAAAGACGTGTCAGAAGCGTTTGCAAGAAGAAGGAAACAATTCATGAAGTTCCCAACATCAAGAGAAGAAGTAGAAGCAACACAGCAGCAGTTCTACCAATACTGCAGGTTGCCAGGTTTTCTAGGTGCAATTGATAGGACTCGTGTCTACATCAGGAGTCCTGGTGGAGATCAAGCCCTGTATTTTATTAATAGGAAGAACAGATACTCTATTAATGAAATGAAAATTTTCCCTTTTTTGGAGATGCTCCCCATTTACTTTTAATGCAATTAATTAAATGACCGATATGGAATTGGTTCACCCTTTAGTTTCTCTAAACGAAACGTACACCCATGCAGTACTGTGGTCTGAAACAATTAGACCGTATGATTTGAAATCTAATGGTTGATATAGTTCCTCCCAAAAACATTTTTGCAAAAGGTACCAACCACTTTGAAAGGGAAATCGTCATCATCTTCATCATTATCAACATCGTCACTGAAATCGTTATTTGACTGCTTCATCACCATCGCCACCGACAACATTGCTGTCATCATTATCATCACTGACATCATTATCGACTACAACATTGTCTTCGTCAATAACCTTGAATACTTGTTTTGATTATCCATATTAAATCGTCAATATTTAAATATAAATTTCTCTTGTTTGATGATGTGGTTTTTCTCGTAAAATCATTAAGTTAGGAGGTAAACGTTTTACAAGTGAATGACCTACTTTGTTTATCTTGTTTAATTATTAATATACCATTTGCTGTTATCTATTACTTATAATTACCCAGTACACACCATGAATTAAAATGGATTCGGTATGTTTCGCTAAATCCAAACACCCACAGAGAGAGAGAGCAAAAGATAAAGAGAGAGATGAAGAAAGAAGGAGAAAGGTATGTGTGAGAGAGAGAGGTGGAGAAAAAAGAGAAAGAAAAGGGGTACGAGAGGGGTTTAAAAAATGGAGTTCTAACGAAATAAAAAGATATTTGAGAGAGGTGGGGTGGAGAGCTGGTGAAAAAAGAGAGACAACAAACAAAAACAAGGAAGGTGAAAGAGTGAGAAATAGAGACGAAATTTACAAAAAAGTTCTTTTCTTTTTGTTTAAATCACTATTCCCTTGAGAAATTCAATAAAGCAGAAAAAGTAAGAAAAAAAATGAACGCCCCCCTAAGAAAAGAATTAATACAGCAAATAAACAAATTCAGAAAAAATTAATGCCCCCCCCCCTAAGAAAACAATTAATGCCCCCTCCCCCCTAAGAAAAATTAAAAACAAAATTACCCCCACCCCTAAGAAAACAATTAATGCCCCCTTCCCCCTATGAAAAAATTAAGAACAAAATTAACCCCCCTCCCCCCCCCTCAAAAAAAAAAACCCATCCCCTAAGAAAACAATTAATGTCCCCTCCCCCCCCCCCCCCCCCGAATTAGGCCTAATAATTCTTTATCACATGTCAAGACTGCCTTGTTTTTGCTGTCCTCCTATTTTATGTGACCAGTAAGCCCGGTTTTTTTTCTCAATACATCTATGCATAGTATGCATTAATGCCAGTATTCTCTATCAGATAGTATTTATCGTAACCTTTCAGCCCTTTCTTTCTACATAATCAACACATTCAAACGTCATCGATCGCTTTCGCTGCCTCTACGGAGTCTACGCTATATATAACACAAGTCTACTCTTACTTCGGATTGATTAATTGCTAAACTAAAGTGTGACCTACGCTCTAAAATCATCATAACAATCAACGAAAATGTGATCATATAGCTCTAAAATGAACACTACATCATAGAAATTTTTCACTCTGGTATAAGGGTCGTTTACAGAAGTTTTTTGTGGACTCTTCCACGCAAACTGTCGATGTTTAGTGTGTTGTGATGCCCAGCTGATCATAATTATGTCGGACGATTATAGGCCATAAATTAACAACGATAGTGAGGAATTATTGAGGTAATTTATGCGAAATTCTATAATATTTTGAGGACATCTGTCAGAGATCTGTTTTAGTATGTGAATAGTGGTTTAAAGTCTTATCTCAACTTAGAATCGGTCGGTTTTCAGTCTCTACTTGTAGGCGAAGAGTAATAGCCCAAATACAACTGAATCTGGACTTAGCAGACGACGGTGAACTAGGTGGAGTAACCAAGTGTACTGAGCGCGCATGCTCAGTTCAGTGCTTCAATTCTGCGCACGCTCAGTTTATTTTGTTGCTCTCTTAGGCATGCTTAAACCGTGGGTTAAACTGTGGGTTAGATTTAGACCATGGGTTATCTAACCCACGCTTTGTGAATACCGAGCGAGGTTTAAACCGTGGGTTAGATTTAGCCTGGGCTAAATAACCCAGGGTTAGATTTAGCCTGGGTTAAATCTAAACCTCCTTTGTGAATTCGGGCCATTATCATTATCATACAGTGAAACCTGTCTATAGCGATCGCCCAAGGGAAACACAAAAAGTGGTCTTTGTAGACAGGTTCATTTAGTACACGTTTCAATGAGAAACCATTTCAAGGGAGACCAAAAATGTGGTCTTTGTAGACAGGTGGTCACTAAAGCAGGTTTGACTGTAATATGATTACCATTGCAGGGCTCGCAGAGAATAGAATTGATACTGATGAGGTTACCCTGGGTTAACCAGACATATTATCATTGTTATAAGTATAAACCTGCAGACCGTTTTTTGAAACTCATAATTTTTACCTGGCATGATGAGTTCAGAATTCCTCATGGGGAACTGCTGATCGATGTTGGTTCCGATGAAAACCGAGTTGGGCCTCTTAAGATAGGACGCTGCCTTGAGAAGCTTCATAAAACTGAAGTATTGATCAAACCCTACGACGACCCCATTAACCTGTGATAACACAATAGAGAGTAGATAAATAATAGATATGACTTACACATTAATGATGATATGCTGACGGTGGTCTAGTACTTAATTTATACTGGGAATCTCGCTCAACAAGCCGGGCTATTCCGAGATTCCTGATTTTTCCCTCTCAGTTTAATCAAGCAATATACAATATTTTGTCTTATTCTCAAACTTACATGTACCGGTACTATGTAAACTACTTTTGATTCGTAGATACTTATCAATATTTGTTACATGTATAATTTATTTGTTCTATTGTATATTGTAATATTGTATGGTCTATATATTTTATTTTAAAATTTTGATATTTGAGTGGAAAAATATAAATCAAATCAAATCAATTATTAGACAGTATACCGAAAGGAATCGAGTCTCCAAACAATTCTTGAGTGCTATAATGGCAGCTGTGCTATTAAAGGGAAAGTCCACCCCCAAAATAAGTTTGTTTCGATAGAGGCAGAATAATAAAAAAATCAGGTTAGTGAAAGTTTGAGCAAATTCTGAATGAAAATAAGAAAGTTATGAATTATTGAAGTTGTGATCAATCAAACACAAATTGGCAACTCTATGACGTATCATGCGAGCTCAACTTCCATTTGCTCAGTACTAAAAAAATCTAAAATTTTCATTTTCCCTCAAGAAAAATTTCAACCATACATGCACCCTAAATATAATAATTGCAAATATGTTTCTATACTCCCCCTGCAAGGAACAAATATATATTCCGTCATCAATAACGAAGAAAACATGATTTTATGGAATATTATGCACAAAGCAAATGAAGGAGAGCTCGTATAATAAGTCACAGAGTTGCCAATTTGTATTTGATTGATCACAACTTCAATAATTCATAACTTTCTTATTTTCATTCAGAATTTGCTCAAACTTTCACTCACCTGATTTTTTTTATTATTCTGCCTCTATCGAAACAAACTTATTTTGGGGGTGGACTTTCCCTTTAAAAGCAGAGGTAAGAATGCTGGATTGCCAGGAGTGGCAATGTGCAAGACATGACTGCTAAAAAAGAACCCACTATTAAGTTGTTGGTGTTTTGTTTATTTTGTTCATGTTTGGAAAGTACACCCTGGCATAAAGTTGGCTTACCGGGATACAAAAGCATAAAAATGAGAAAAATGGATCAGAAAAAATTTGATGAAAATCTGATAAAATATCAGAAAATTATGAAGCTTTAAAGTTGTGGTCGTTAAAAGTGAAGGCAACAGCAAGAATATCTTGTGTTTAATATGTACTCAACATATTATTAAAATTTATTATTAATATCATGCTCAATATGATACTTACATCTGGGTCTAGAACTACGTTGTCAGCCCGATGATCTAGAATTTGACCTTCAACGTTGTCTGGCTGTAATGAAGATAGAACAAAAAGATTGAGTGGGAGTGATAGAAAGATAAAGAGGGAGAAGAGAGAGATAAAAGAAATAAAGATAGATCAAGATGCTGCTACTACTACTACTACTTCTACTACTACTAGTACTAGTAGTCATACTACTACTACTTCTCCTCCTACTACTACTACTACTTCTACTACTACTACTACTACTACTACTACTACTAATCTACTTCTAATACTACTACTACTACTACTACTACTACTACTACTACTTCTACTACAACTACTACTACCACCACTAGTACTACTACTTCTACTACTATGAAAACCATTATACTACTACTCTTACTACTCTTACTACTACTATTACTACTCTACTACTACTACTACTACTACTACTACTACTACTACTACTACTACTACTACTACTACTACTACTACTAATACTACTACATCTACTATTACTACTTTTACCACTATTACCATTAACACTCCAAAATGAAATTATGGTCTTAACTGCAGAATAACAACCATGTGTGCAATGTGGTTAGGGTCATAGTCGTGGAAAGGGGGAGAGTAATGTTTAGGTCTAGGATTAAGGTTAGAGTTACGTGTGGCGCTTCATTCTGCAGGTGTTCCAAATAACCCCATTTTTTTCAAAGGAGACTATAAAGTGCCTCACCCCTGTTCCTATGTAGTCGATACCATGAAGCTTCATCTCCTCTTCCAAGCCCGACATCCCCATCAGGTAAACCTTTCCAGTGAAGTTGAGCTTGTGCTTCAGATAGAGGGCAGCACAGTACGCAGTCCCAAAGATCTCGTCCTGAGGATTAGAAAAATGTCATACTTTTAACACTCATCATGCTCTAGGTTTTGATTTTGATTTATTTTCTTGTGCATTCCATATACAGGTAAGGGTAATTCCATAAATTAGTGACCCACTTTGTGACATTTTTGGTGTCCCTGTTACATAAGGAACCCACACGTAAGTGGTTCGACTGAGTACAGACTTGAATAGTGGAGTATGAGTGTTACGGTAAGTGATTCTAGGTATGAGGATGCAATATTATGCTTGGAAATAACATTACAATCTCACTCCACTATTTAAGTCTTTACTCAGAGCCACAAATATGTGTGGGCTCTTTATGTAACAGGGACACCAAAAATAATTGGGTCCCTAATTTATGGAATTACCCATAAATATAAACAGTTTTTTGAAACAAAACAAACATAAAATACAAAATAGTACTTTCTGACAATGAATCACAAACAAGCAAAGATACATAACAATTATAATAGGGGGACGAAAACAATAATTTATTCTTGCCATTTCCACAAGATATTTCAATATATTTTATTGATCCACTTTTTAATTTATTGTATTTTAATGTAACTTTAATGTTGATTTTTATATTTTGTACATTCCATTTGTTTCAGCCTTTGGTTGCTATTTTCAATGTAAATTTTGTGATCAATAAACCAGTTCCAATTTAAATAAAATAAAAGCTAATTAATTACAAATAAATTAGATTGTATTTTGTATTTAAATGACTGAATGATTCTTCTTACCTTGGACACTATAAATCCCATTTTTGTGAATTTCTCCTGGTATTGAAGTCTTGACTTTGTGCTATTGTTGGTTACAAATATAGGTTGCTTGCCCTGCAGGAAAGAAAAATGACATGTGTACATCTGAATGCTTTGATTTGAAGGAAACAATATATGAAGGAAGTTCAGAAAAACAAAAACAATACTAAATTACACATGAATCAAATCTCTACATTTAGTTTCCATTAATCACATGTGTTTTTACTTGCACTGGACTTACCAGTAGCATATTTTACTGTAAATTGACAAGTGCTTTGTCAACACATACCATATCTGCATTTTATGACACTCCTTGCAATTACTCGCCACACCTACCATCCCAGTATAGCTTCCTGAGTGAGCTGCCAAAGGGATTACTCCATCAAGTATCAAGTGTTGAATTGAAACAAAGAAAACATAAAGGTAGCTTATTTTTAATGAGAAAATTTAGCAGTCTACAGGTTAACATAAATTGCAATGGGTTTCCTTTTCACAGAGAGTTGATGATTTTAAATCTTACACTCACCATCGACCTGAGTTTATTGATCGTCTCGGCAGCACCGGGGACTGCGATATTAGAATGCCACAGAACACCTGGAAATAAGGAATACAAATTAATATTTACTAATATGTTGACCCATTGCCTAAGAGAGGCTCTTGTTGTTCGAAGAATGTACATGTATCAAGTCTGAAGGAATGAGAGAAATCATTTAAGCTGAAATCTACATGTAACAGAAATGCCAAAGGACTTTTATTACTGGTATTCAAGATATCGGATCCAATAAAGGCAAATTCCATACCAGTACTTACAATTTGTATTTTATATTCCTTATTAATGGGGGGGGGGGGGGGGAATTCCTACTCTTGTTCTTTCTTATGAATGGTTCATTTTGAAATGTCTTTATAAGCAATTTCAGTCCTGACGATAAGGTGCTGTAAAAGTAGATATCAGAAAAATAGATAACTTTAACAAAGAGTGTGAGAAAAATGAGAAAAACTATAGAGATGAATATGCCATATTCATAATAAAAAATCTTGAATTGCTGTGTTAAATTATTTACTTTACCTGTTACAAATAATTATATTTTAATAGTCAAAATGCAAATTTCATACATTAATTGTTGCTAGGTAGGACAAACATTGTGGCTTGTCATACCTAACAATACAGATTGTATGCAACTTGAATTCTGACTTAGATTGAAATACAATTATTTGTAACACTTATTTGTGCATTAAATTTGAATACTTTAATAAATATGGCCCATTGGTTGTGAGTTTTTGGTGCCATAATTCCCACATTACTCATCAATTATTTTGCATAGTGTAAAACCAGAAACTTTGTAAAAATGAAATGTTCACAAATTTCGAAGCAGTCAAGATTTTTTAAAGTTTTATACTTTCACCATTAGGCCTATAGATTCTAGACTTAGATCTAGATTAGACTCGATCGATCTATTCACGATTTGAAAAAGTTTCTTGTTTTGAAATTAAATATTGCTGTCGTTTCATATTGTACAGTTTCTCCTTAAACAGGATTTGAAATTAACAAAAGTTACATAAATAGAAATTTAAAAGATAAAACTGAATATCATGCAATCTTACAATAGTCTACACTTTTTTAGTTTTACAAATTATTCAGTCTCTGATTTTGTTGATTGTACTTTTGTCCATTTCTCAGTCAATTCCTGAAATTGTTCAAGAAAGAAAATAACACTGACTTGAGTGACTTCAATGTGATAGTTTCATGTAGTTGAAAATGATTGGGCTAACTCTCATTTTATCATGTTACATCATCGCAACATGCATGTTCACCTCGCATCAATGCACAGATCTCAAGCGACACTGCACTACATGAATATGAACAGGTGGGGCTACAATAACAAAACGACTAACGAATTCGTGCGGATATCCATGTTTATCTATCATTAACATTTCTCACACAACTCACCATCGCAATCCAACAGAATTGTATCGATGGAATCCAGCAATTCCTTCATCAACTGTTTCGTCAATTTCCTGCAGGTAGCCATCATTCTTAAAATAATTGCCGCACTGTCGAAGTGTCACAGAGATCATTACGTAATCAACCGGCTTCTGCAAAAAGTGGGCGGGGTCGAGCGCGCCAAACGCACAATTACTTTCACTGTGATGGTGTTACTTTTCTGCTTTTGGGATGGGAGGGGGGGGGGGGGGGGGAATGAAAACAAGAAAACAAGCAATTTAGCCAGGCCGACACTACACAATCAAATTTCACTTTAATTAGGTCTAGATCTACTGCTTTTCAATTTGGTGTAGGCCAGTCTATTTAGCACATTATTATATTTTTTTTAATTCATGAGGGTTAGTGAGCACTATTTTTGTGTTGGCCCTTGAAAATTTGAAAAATAGCACCCCCCCCCCCCCTAGAGCGCCAAGGCAGGGGGCCCATCTCCCCAAAAAGGTAAAAATTAATGTGTTTTTACACGTTTTTCCCCCAGGGATCCACCACTTCCTGCAATGCACTCGCCATCTACGTATTAAGAGGAAGGGGGAGGGTTAGTGGGCACTATTTGTTTTAATCAACACCCCCCCTCCCCCTTGAGGAAAAACAAAAACAAATTTTGACAAAAAAATTGTTGTTGCTAGGGGTTGGGGCCCATCTTCTCTTATTTGTTTTAAAAAGCTAAAATTGTGGATGCCATATTTGTTTTTTACTTCTTTGGTTGGCACTTTATTAAAGATCACGCATGCCCCGACGCATGCATCGATTCGTCTAGAATCTAGATGGAACCATCGTCTTGATATGATCAAGATTGATTGAGTAGAACTGTATTTGTTCATTGATTAGCGAACATGTCTGTTTGATACCAAAGACCGATGGATGCCGTCTTAGATCTATGTTGGTATCAATATCAGTGCCACATGCAGTCTCGAGAGCGGATCACCTGAACAGGGGAAAAGTAATCTACATGAGACTGAGAGGAAAGCAGACAAAATCAGAGTAGTATGACTGAATCGTGAAAGTCTCTGTAATTTTACATAGTGGCGGACAAATTTCCCATTTGTTCCAACACAAAAAAAAGACTAAAATTTAAATTTTCCAAAAAATGTATGAACCAGGGGGTCTTTGCTAGCTAGAGGAGCACACATCATAGAATCGTTTTTTTTTAATTCAGATACGAAAAAAAAAATCACTTCCTGGGCCCCTTTTTATAAAGAGTTGAGATTGATCCAAATCAATCGCAACTTTGCAGTATCCTATCTTTTTATATAAATCACAAATAAGTTTTAACTTTTTACAAGACGGTGCCCATGATCTGTACACTCATTTAATTGGCAATTCCATACATTGTGCACTTTGAATGGGCTACCTTCACCTCATACCGACCTCAGCATGATAGAAAAAATAGCTGGTAGTTTCAATTCACCGTCACCGTCAATGTTGGAAACGGGAAGGGGGCGTGCAAGTGTGATAACAAAAAGATCTAGGAACGATTTTTCTTTCAACTCGAAATGATATTTGACGGCAAATCCTGGTCGACTTAATAATGGCGAGTGGACCTGCCGGCAGGCCACGGGTGAGGCAAAGTTCTTTTCGGAAGATGATCAATGAAATCTTGGACGAAAGAGGCAGAGACAAGCTGTGTCGATCGCTCCCTAGTCAAGGTAACGTCAACAACACATGAACACTGTTTCTCCGCTTCGCTGGCGCGTTAGTGCGCGCTCGACCTGCATGCAGCTGCAGGCTAGCCAGTCGATTTGTCAATGAACTCTCCATCAATATAATACATGCAGTACTCAGTAGATACAGGCATAGTCTACAATGTGTGTAATGGTGGAGGGTTAATATGATATCCTTTTTTTCAAAGGCTTATTTATTTAAAGGAATAGACTAGGTGACAGGTCTATTCTTCTTCAAATTCTAATTCTGGTTTACAGAGCTGCGTTTCTGTATTTTCTGATGTTGACTTGTGGAGAAAAAGAGAAGAACAGAGTGACACTGATAAATGTCAATAAATAACGCACTTGACTGTGGGGTTATTTGACAAAATGAAAGTGTTCTTGCAAGCTATTCGCATGTAATAAAATGAAGAAGGAGAAGAACAACAACAACAAAAACATTAAAAGGGGAGGAGGAGAAGTAAACGAAAGAAAACAAGAAGCTACAGGCTACAGCTTCAGAAACAGTGTCATAAGAGAGAGAGAGAGAGAGAGAGAGAGAGAGAAAAGTAAGATGAGAATTTATAAAGGTAGAAAAAGACCCAATCTGACATGAAAACTAAAGCAGAATAAAATTGAAAGTCTTTTTTTTTATTGCTCACCAATTCTCTATTTTTGCTATTTCATTTGACCCAGATGGATTCGGTAGGATTCCTATGGAAGTGAACTGTTTCTGGGCCAGGCTTTTTTCTCAGCATTTCGTAGCGGAGGTTCCAGAAGAATTAAGAGATGACATGCTCTTCTTCATCCATCGCAAGCAACCCACATCCAGGCAAGACAGACAGGTACAGCCCAAATTTACCAAACCATCTTTCTTCTCCCCCCCCCCCCCCTGAGCATTGTTCCAAAATGAAATGCATATATTTAAGAACCCTGTATAGAAATCTGCTCTCTCTCTGTCTCCTTCCAGCAGTCTCTATATACAGGCTTCTCTGTATCGATAGAGTCATTGTACTGGTATTACAACCAAAATGGTCTAAACAGACAGGGATTGAGGCTAGCAGAGATATATGGATGCTAGGCGTTGTTGTGTGCGCCTGTAATCCAGCTAAAAGCATGGCCCTGGGAAGCGGGGGTGCTGGGGGTGCTGTAGCACCCCTGGAATCCCCCCCCCCCCGGTGACAAAATCGTTCCCAGGGCCCTGGCTAAAAGTGGAAGTTACAAACTGATTCAACCAAGGGCTAAGGTTCGAAACTGAGTCACGTCTTTTGGATGGTGACATTTAAAGGTCAGTCCCCAGACGTAAATAATCATATCTGATTGATACACGTCTGTAAAAACCCAATACACACATGCTGTTTGATTTGCCCTAAAAATGTATGTAATACTTTTCATTCACATGAGCTTATTTTTGATTTACTAGTCAGGGAAAATATGGATTTCTTGCAACAATTCCTTTACACATTACTCTGTTTGTTTTTTCCTTAATAATCAGCTCTGCATGTAAAAAAAAAATCACAGAATGTTTATGATCACCAATTTGTTTATCATCTAAATCAGTTTTACATCAAATTTTCCTTTCCTTCTTATTTCCAGCAAGCGAGATTGGAGGTGTTTCGTCAGGATTCTAAGAACCTTCCTAGTTTAGGAGAACCCAACATCGACTGGGAGGAAACAGTTTATCTTAATCTTATTCTACAACAGGTTAGTTTGCTTTTTATAAAAGAAATGGCTTTCAATTTAGTTTATTACATCTACATATAGTAGAATTTCATGGAGAGTTATGATTTAAGCCCTTAAAGGCAAAGATCACAGGCCTTAAATTAATCGACGGCCATCGACGGCCAGGCCGTCGATGCCCCTATGACTGGCCGCGGTGCCCTCCAAAAAAAGATAAATTCACGGCCAAAAAGGCCGTGCCCTTTTTTTCAAACTGGCCGACGTGCCTTTTTTTCCAACTGGACGTGCCCCTTTTTTAAAATTTGCGCACATAAAACCACCAATTGCGCCCATAATCATCTAAAACTAGACGGCAAGGCGCAAGTGTTTTCCGTGAAAATGCGCCCATAAATTATTAGAACAGTAAAAATACACGAATCACGAACAGTCTGCCGCCCACGAGCTCTCTTCTAGCTTCGTATTTAGTGCTTTAATAAGGCGCAAGTGCCGTGAAAATGCGCCCTTTGTTATTATATAGGCAATGCGCTAGCGCACGTACGTGCGCTAGCACGTACATGTGCTAGCACGTACATGCGTTCATGCGATCGCATGATATGCATGTATGGTGCATGCTGTTGACGCACGCACGTACGTACGTAAAAATCGAAGGCCAGGATCAAGAAAACAAATCGTCAAATGGAGAAATAAACAAGCATTCAAATAGTCATTAGAGATCTGTCGAGGTTTGTTTGTAGGTCTAGTTTATTATTTTATCTCAAATAGAATTTAGAATTATCTTATTAATAAGTTAAGAACACCTACGATGTTCTCGATCGTAGTTACTCTCATTTTGCCACTAGCCGACCTCGCTTCAAAAAGCTACCCCGCCAGCTTCCTAAGACGAACGTTTCGAGTCCCGGTAAAATTACGCGCTGCGAATCTCCGAGGGTGCATCGGTTTCGCTGGCAAACTTCCAGCCCTACAGCTTCCCACCAAAAGTGGCGAGAGTGTGTGTGCGAGGAACGATTTTGGTTTCGTGAATGCACGTTACGCAACTGAGCTGAGCGTGTCACTTTCAGCTGTCGTATGTCTATAAGGATATTTTTACATCTTATTTCATTAGTTAGGCCTATCTAGACCTTTCTATACAACAGTTAAAAAGATAATTTCTTCAAATTTGCTCCCACTACCGAGAGAGTGGCGGAAGGTTTGTGTGTGAGGTGCGATTTTGATTTGGGATACCCGGCCGGGTAAACTTGCCAAGTCCTTCTGACTTTCGATGTTTGTGAAATTCATTTGCTCATCAATATTTTTAGTTACTTTAAAATACTGTTTAATGTGCAAGTTTGATGTTCTTAATCAATCTTTCCTGTTCATATTGTTAAGATTAAAAAGTTATTAAATTGATCGTTCGATCTAGTCTATTCACATTATGAAATTAACATTTGTAGACTCTCTTTGAACTTATGATTAGATAAGGGGCATATCTGTTGCTCTGGTAAATTCCTGTGGCAAAAGGCAACTTAAAAAAAAAAATTGCCCCTTGCTCCTGGCTGCTAAATCTAAGGCTTGCGGGCCGCCGCCTTGTTTGTATGTACCGTAGACCTCTATACATTCTGTGAAGAAGCTGGTGCTAAAAGTCATGGGAAATTGATCCCGCACAAGTTTCATAAAATACACATGACATCTAACAAAAATAGAATCAATTTTTTTGGCCTCATACTCGATGCCCTTTTTGTAAAATATTTTGGCCTCGATGCCCTTTTTGTTAAAAATATTTTGGCCTTGGTGCCCTTAAAAATATGAGGTACTCAAGGCCAAACTGGCCTTGCCCTAAAAATGACGAAATTTAAGGCCTGAGATCAGTTTTGGAAACGCCCCCCTCTCAAAAAATGAAATGGAAGCTCTTATTACCAATCATGTGAAAGAATATGTTTTGACTATTAAATACATGATGATACAAATTTTGCCGAGAAACTGCCTACTAATTGATATATTTAGTAAATTATTATATCTATTTGGACCTGATAGATATCCTACATGTGTCGCGTAGTCCCATATACATCTTTCTGTGTACAGTGCTTGTAACTTTACCAAGAGTGGGCCAAATTTCTTATCATTTAAATGATTCCAGAACCTTGCAGTACACACCAATACTTATATGCTAGATGATCAACCTATTCTGATCGATTCCACAACTTTTCTTTCACGATGCAATCGCATGACCATAACTGGTCTTTATCTTTAAACAATTTTGTTTGGATTTCTCTTATTTAGAGTTGCTTTTTTCTGATATCTTTAGGATCTAAATACTTTTTGTGCGACTGTTATACAGTGAGTATAAGAAAAAAGTGTACCCAACTGTGGTAGCTTCTAAATAAAAAGTTATGAGCTATGTGACATTGAATCATATTTCATTGTAAAGGATTTATAACTGATACCCTAGCTGTCTGATGATACCATTTCCATAATTGTGCTGGCAAGGATGACTGTACAGCAGGCTTTTTAAAAAGTATTGTTAAAATCCTCTTGTACCAAGTTTGGGCTGAAGTAATGAATGTGGATCAAAGCTATTATGGATGTGTTCATTCCAAAAACAATTGCTAATTTGTTTACATTGACTGTCAGGCAGTTGAAGAAAAAAAGGGTGTTAATACGAACTCAAACTCAAACTCAAGGAAATGATTATTACAATTAAAATTTATGATATTATCTTCGTTATAATGATTACAATCTTGACTTGAGTCGCATCCCTTGTTTAGGGTAACCTTCTCATTGAGTGAAACAAAATTGATAGGGGCCATTCCATGAGAAGAAGGACATGACATCAAAAAAAGAAATGTACCTCTTATGTTAATTCTTTGATTTATCACTAACCTTATGCCATGGATGTTCATAAAACATTAGGGCCTTTCAAATTCAATACAATTTTTTTTTCATTTTTGTTGATTTCCTAAGATCTTAAACTATCATCAAAAACGTACATGTGGGACTGTAGCTGAAAAAAACCAATTTATTGCAGATTACACAGGATTCTTGTAATATTTTTTCCTGAAAATTTCGCTAAATGGAAAAAGATGAATATATTTCCATATTCTAAGGGGTCCTGTGATATTTAATCTATTACATAGGGGTGAAAATGGCCTCCGGACAAAATGTAACGCGAGTTACCGTAACGTGAGTTACCGACATATTTGCTTCCTGCATTTTACTAGTCCATTGTTTCTTATCTTTAATATTGTGATCTTATACTAGTAAGTCACAACCTACTATCAAATTAAAATAGGAAAGATTTTGTCAAGATTGTCTAGTATGAGGAGAAAAGAGGGTCTCGTAGAATTGACCATGTCCTTTTTTTGTAACGCGAGTTACCGAAATTCAATAATCCAAGAATCTAAAAATGTTTGTTCTTCAATTTTCTTTTTTGTTTCATTCAGTTGTTCTACCCTGTCCATGTTTGAAAAAAGTATCTTGTAGATCCTAGCAGTTCTAAAGATATAGGCACATTATCGTGTCAATGTACCCATTAAGTGTAACGCGAGTTACCATGGAATGGCCCATAGAGTTTATTTGGGATGTTATCTTTCTTCATGAAAGTCTGCTGTCAATTTCCAAGATATTTATCATCATATGTGTTCTTTCTTGCATTTGGGTGTAGCAACCTTTGAGTTTTCATTCGCTATTTGAGATAAACACCTTATGCTCCTTACCCGTGTGAAATGGCGCAGCTGACAAGTGATAAGAGAGAACTTAGCTACATGTATCATGAGACAATAGTTTACTAGACTGTTCAAAATAATTAAAGATTTTCCTGTGGATTGAAACAAGGTTCTATGAAAGCCTAGGATATACAAAGGATAATTATTCTTTATGAGTATATAACTTTAAATTGTGTGTGGAGAATATTTTTTATCCAGACATTGAAAGAGTTCACTTACATGTACATGTATGTGGTCATAGCAGTGACATTATTTGAGATTTATGCAAAGAAGTCATTATTTTTCTGGTTTGTTTACAATACAACTACATGTACCCCTTTGTTCACGTTCCTAATTCTGAAAGTTTGTTATTCAAGAGGTTTGCTGTCTGTAAATAAAATTGAACTCTATCATGCTATCACATTCAAAATTATGAACCTTCACAAAAACAAGGGACTCTCTGAACATCATTTAATTGAATTTTTCACACTTGCCATTTATTGACGTGGCTTCTATTAAAGGGAGTGTGTCATGACATGATTGTGTATTTCCTGTGGCCCTTCTCGGGGCCAATCGGGTATATTATGACTTCGGACGACGCGGCCACAGCATTCACGTGCATGCAACATACGCGAAACTGAAGCTTCGGTCTGTTTTGCGAATGCTAGCGTGCGCTGACCCTGTTAATCAAGTCCATTCGTTTACTTGCAGTTGTCCAAAAGAAGACGTAGATGGTGTTAACCAGTATTTGCCATGATACACTCCCTTTAAAGTAGCTGTACCTTTGTCACTTTCTTCTTCTCGTTTTTATTCTTTGCAGTACAACTACATCTTAACATGCGCCGTCTGCATCAAGTCAGAAGGGACGCTGACGATACTCCGGAAGCACACCGAGCAGGTCTTTGCCAGTCCCTCCAGGAGACGCATGGATAGCAAAGGAGAGGAGTCAGAAGTCTCCTATCCTAATATATTCTTCATCATTGATAACTTCGATGAGGTATGTATCCCATCTAACAATCCCAATTTGTCTTGACATTAATAATAAAAACGGTGCTTATAAAGCGCTTACCACCAAAGTCTCTAAGCATTAAGTGCATTCTACCAAAGTAGTAGGTATTTAACAATCACATCTTTTAAGTTTTTGTTCACAATTCGAGATGATATATATATATATATATATTGCATGTTTTGTTTCCTTGTTTTATTTAATCATCTGTTTGTTTTTTTGTTATAATTATGTATGTATTGTTAATTCTGGGGTCAATGTAGAATAAGGCTATTTGTTCTTTTATGTTGACCCCTCATTTTCATGATTTGTATTTATCTAATTGCTCTGAGTTGATTTCTCTTGATGATACTCTGTTGTGTATGTATTTTATACATTTAATTTTTTAGTGAAATAAACTGAACTGATCTGATTACCTTAAAATTATGTCAAGCAACATAGGTGTACATCATTTCCTTGAAGTATTAACCAAATTTTATTTAAATATCAAAACATTTTTGAAGTGTTTACGTGTTTTAATTTTTATTTGTCCTGAAAGATCTTTGGTGATTTCACCGTCCAAGAAGGCCAGATGTTCTGCGTGGAACTGGTCGCAAGCGAGAAACAAGGTCCATTCCGTAGCGTAGTCTTCCTGGGATCAGTGCGCCATGAAGCCCTCAAGAAAGTCTATGATAACCGAGTAAGTATTAGGTGATCAGAGTGTATACAGGTGACTAGAGTTTCGGTATCACATGACCAGAATGTACTTATGTCTGACTAATTAGAAAATAAGTCCATTCTGACTGCTAAGAAAGCATATGAATGCTTGTAAGTAAGCAACAGTAATGAAATTTTTAAAAGGTGCAACTTTATTTTTTATTTTTCATTTTTTTCAATTTCTTTCTTTCTTTTTCGTAGGCCAGTGTATCTTCGAAGGTTGCTAGCAAGGTGTCGATGGGGTTTTCCAAGGAGGGCGGGGTCGAGTGGAGTTCATTCGGATGAGAGGGCCAGAGGGCAAGGGTTTCGCGGAGGTCGCCGTCAGCCGGGCAAGCTGGTCCTCGTCCGTGGAGAGTAGTACGGAGGATGTGCATTCAGCGTCAGAAAGTTTTGACTCGACAACCGATGGGTAAGTTGAAATAGAACTTTTAAAGCCTGTCTGTACTAGTTTGGCCAGGGGATTAGACCTCCCTGCAAGGTCACTGACAGGTGGCTTTCTCATCAATTCAGCTCTAAATTAACATAAGAAAAATAGGATCATGGGGGACCAACAGGCACCGTTTTCTATATAGAGGGAGCAAGTAGCTATAAGTAGTACAGTGGGACTTTAAGGGAAAATCCACCTAGGTATCACGTAGGTATTCAGCGATCAAATTTAAAAATAAGACGGGGCCCAGGTATGAAAATGTTATGATTGCAAATCTCTTTATTGCTCGAATACAGCCCTCAACGTCCACAGGGAGCCTGCCTCGTGATGTCATCATAGGTTCACCGATCCACAAAGGCTTACGCAAATCTCAGTCTGACAGCGAGACCCTGTCAACGCTGACCAACGGCAAGGACGAGGAAGCGGCTTGCCAGTCAGAAGGTACAGGACCCTTTTTCATAAAATTTGATATCAATAACAAGTTACAAGCTACTGTTATAAGCTACTGAGATCATGGCATCTGATTGGCTGAGAGCAAATTTGTCATAGAAATTTAGCATTTGTTATAGATAAAAAGTTTTATGAAACAGGACCCAGATCATTGCTAATATTCATAAAAGTATGGTGGATTCACAATCCACAGTGCCATTTAGCATCACCAGTATTGAGGTTTCATGCGACGCATTATGGGAAAAAGTTGAAAAATGAATCGGCTGTGGCACTGTTATATATATATATATATATATATATATACCCCCAGAATTAAGGGGATATAAAGAGAATTTTTATGATGGGTAAGGTGTTAAAAGCTTTTCTGATTACAATGATATCAGTCTTATTGACCATACAGTACTTGCAATGCTTTGGTCATTTTGGCCACAATGTGGCCCCAAACGACCTATTCTATTGACTTATGTTCAAAATCAGATAAATTTTCAGTCGGAACCAATTGGTGGATGGGTTTTGACATTTAAATTCAATATAAAAATGTGCGCTGATGTCAGAACAATCAATCCCATTGAATGAATTAAGCCAGTTTCGACCACTTTGGTCATTTTGTTTCCAGGCTATCATTTTGCTACGCTGCACTAAGTCGACCTGCAAGCTGAAAAATTGGCCTGTCGCGGCTTAACGTTGGGGGGCTCTGTTAATCGTGAATCGACCCTATTGAATAATTTTATGTTCCTTCAGCTTTTTAATTTTATTTCTGGCGGTTTACCTTCCAGTGTTGTTGTCTCCTACCTCAAATCTTATCCTGTATACTATATTTATCCACTCTAACTATTTATTCCTTTTTTTTCTCTGGTTAAGACGAGGGACCCCCCAGTAGTTGGAGCAGGCGATGGATGAGACGGACATCAGATGCTCTCCTACGACTCACCATGCGTAGCACCCAGGTACCAGCCCTCAACGTTCATCTCACTTACGTAACTCTACCGTGGCATCGAATAATAGCAGGTGAGTCTAACGTAAACATCAAGTACTGAATTAGCCAGTATTGTTGTGAATAGTTTGGTTAACACTTACCGGTAAAGAGAAGGTCGAGTTCTGTGGGAAGAGGTGAAAATAATTTGTGAACGTTATCATTGTATCATGCAAGTGTGGAAAAACACCAGATAAAAAAAAAAATTTGCCTGAAAAGCATGGTTCTTCAATTGCCTTAATATTCTAAATATGGCATGCCACATCACAAAAATCAGGACAAATTTTTATGCCACATGTTTGTGTAGTCCCATATACACCTTTCTGTGTACAGTGCTTGTAACTTTACCAAGACTGGACCAAATTCCTAGAACCTTGTAGTACACACCAATACTTATATGCTAGATGATCAACCTTTTCTATCGATTCCACAACGTTTCTTTTACAATGCAATCACATGACCAGAACTCAACTTTATCTTTTAACTTGGCTTACGTAATACAAAATGGAGAAAAAAAATTGTAAAACATGTAATGATTATTTATGTACAGGGAATAAAATTTCCTAAATACTTTCATTCTAAAATGTTTTCTTCCGTCCATCTCTTTAGGCTCTGTCACTCCCTTGCTCTCTCCTGAACTTTCCCCTCCGTCTCACTCTCCTCCTCCTTCTATTAAACTTGCTGCCTTTTCATATTCTTTATATATTTCCTATGTTTGCTCATTAAGTGTATTTAACTGACCTGCACAGATACATGCACCATATCTTATATAAATATTTATATCGTTGTCCAAACTTTGTTGTTATCTTGTATAGATGTGCTGGAAGTCAAGAAGAAACCAGTTTTAAGCTAGCACACGGTTGCCATGGAAATGCCCTGTCACCAACCGATCCTTCTCAGGTTTTTAGGTAGTGTAGGAAACCCAGTACGAACAAATTAATAGTAGCTAAGAAATGATTTCAATTTGTAGTATTTTACAAAAACAACGACAATAACTTTTTTCTAGAACTATATATCATAGTCAAATTTTGTTATTTCATTTATTGAAACCCTGGACAAATTAATAGTAGCTAAGAATCGATTTTAATTTGTAGTATTTTACAAAAACAATGACAATAACTTTTTTCTAGAAATATATACATGTATATCGTAGTCAAATTTTTCAATTCCATTTATTAGAACCATGAAGCTCAGTAAAGAGTGCTGTATAGTATAGTATGTTACAGGCAATCTGTAAACGTGGATAATTTATCAGCTTGATATCGTATATCTTTATGCTTGTACAGATATGAACTGGTAACCGTGGCAGGTTTTGTATATGAACATAAACAGCAAATGCACGCAACACGTGTCGTATTCAGTGAGCTCCGTGGTAAAGGAAACAGAACTATGACATGCAGTACACTTAAAATCATCATTAAAAAAATGCAGCGTTTTTTTAAATACATGTAAATGAACAGAAACTGTGTGCAAGACTGGTCTTACATGTTGTATTCAATAAGCTCTGTGTCGCGTATCACACTTTGCGTCATCATTAAAAAAACGCCACGTTTTTTTAATGTGTAAAAATGGCAACTGTGAGCAAAACTGTTTTACGCTTATTCACTGAGCTTTGTGGTATACACCGTAGGATACGGAAATGTGACGCACATGACACTCTACGTCATCATTTTAAAAAATGCTGCGGTTTTGCTGCGTTCTATCTGAATCGAAATGAGTGTTTAGAGGGATTCCATGGATATACATAGTAAACAGATAGAGTATTTGAAAGTCCATCAGCAAGCAAGCGACTGCAGCAAGGAAGCAAAAACTTTAGACTACCGGTATTATTCCTGCCAAGTCGATGATAGTGAGGTACATGTATGTATCCACACTTACAGTTAACAATTAAATTATTCATACCCTTTGTAAATTTGATGTGTTTTTTTGTTTTTCATAACTCAAGATGTAAGCTTCAATATGTCATATTCTCAAGAAAGAAAAATTGGGAAAAATCAATTGTTTACATAGTAAACAAAATTACAAAAATTGGTATTAAGGGTATGAATAATTTAGTCGCTAACTGCAAATTGAAACCAAACAAATGCTTTCCTGTACAGTGACTCGACCAAAGTTCATTCACTTGAGAGCGTAATAGCTATGAGATTTTTTACTAGCAATATAGTCAACACAGGAAATTTGTTATAAGGTCATTAGCATCTGGGCAACTGCTAATTTGCAGTGACATGATTCTACCAACATTCTTTTCGTAGTTTTAAATATAGATTTCAGATAGGCCTACCTCATCACACAATGTGAGGCTTATAGCCATAATGCATAGTGGTGCCATGCGTTATAACGGGAGGCTGCTGCATTGGCATTTACATGTATGTGTACAGTAATGCTTTAAGACTGCACACCTTACGATTCTTAAAGGAGGTGTAGCATGGCAAATACTGGTTAACGCCATCTACGACTTCTTTTGGACAACTGCACGTAAACGAATGGACTTGATTAACGGTCAGCGCGCGCTAGCGTTCTCGAAACAGACCACAGTTCTCCTCACTCTTCGGTTTCGCGTATGTTGCACGCACGTGAAGTACTGCGGTCGCGTTGTCCGTAGTCGTATTATACCCGATTGGCCCCCGAGTCAGGCTACGAGAAAGACACTTAGTCTCGTCATGCTGCACCCCCTTTAAGGAAATCACGATTGCAGGGCAGATCATAAAGTGTGCAGTGGCTTTAATTAAGGTGTAAATTTGAATCTCTGTGGCGCTGTTCAAGAGTTTAGCAGTAATCTTAGAGTAATTGTACAGATTTAAAAAAATGAAATTGCTCAGTGGGGTGCATGTATAAATGTAAAGTGTATAGATAAGTGCGCTTGGAAATGCAAAAGCTGCTAGCCATGAAATTATCCTTGGGGGTAACTCGAGGTTAAACGCACAGGCTTGCTTTTGTGAATGATTGTGGAAAGGTTTTGTGCTTTATACATAGGAGCTTGTAGAATATTCAACGTCAATAATTTTGGAGGTAAAACAAAATGATGTGCTTGTTATGGACCTGACCTGACAAACGATGAAATGTATCGTAGCTCATATTAAAATGAAGGGCATTGCTACATTCATTGTAAATATACTACAATGTAATATACATACGATATTGTAAATATACTACAATCTTACTACATCCTTAAAGTATTGTGGATATACTACAATACACACTAGCAGTACTGTTGCTGTAGTACTTGTACCCCCCTCCCTTCCTCTTCCTTAACATCATCTTTAAGCAAATGGAAATCCCACTACAGGTAAAAGAGAGAGAGAGAGAGAGGGTGTGGGGGGGGGGGGATGAAGGAGAGAGAAAGAAAGAGAGAGAGAGAGAGAGCTATAACATGTAACCTGTAAAGGTTTATTTTAAATGGTAAGTAACAGACAGTAACCATATTTTGAATTCCTGTAGTAGCATTCCTTCTGGCAAATTCTTGGAAGTTCATCAAAGTTATAGTTTCAAAAGAACAAATTTCTTGATCAAGTAGACAATTGGTCTTATAGATCTTAAAACAAAAAAATCATGTAATTATTCAAATAAAATCGATCACAATCGTAATATTTACAGACAATTTTAAGAATGATAGCAGTGTGCTCTTGTAGATCTTTGTAAAGCATGTCCGCACCGCTGTGAAGATGATAATTTGATGTGTTGAAATTGATGTATTTATTCAATCAAATTCAATCTCAATCACACTATTTATAGATAATCATAAGAATGATTACAGTGTGCTCTTGTAAATCTTTGTAAAGGATGTCTGCACCGCTGTGAAGATGATAATTTAAGCATGTATTTAGCTGCTTGTTGGTTGAACTGCCTGAAAACATTCAAATCCAAGTTTATTTCAATTCATGTGTGTGATTGCGCAAACTGTGACCAAATATGTTTTTATGTTGTATCTTATGAAGTTCAATGTCAGATGTGATGCCATCAAGTATATACAGTCAAACCTGTCTATAGCGACCGCCCAAGGGAAACACAAAAAGTGGTCTTTGTGGACAGGTTCCTTTATTACATGTTTCAATGAGAAGCCATTTTTAAGGGAAACAGATAAATGTGGTCTTTGTAGACAGGTGGTCACTAAAGCAGGGTTGACTGTATTAGGAAATATAAGAGACATAGATTACAATTATTCCAGTTGTTGACGGTTTAAAGTGACATGGAGCTTTCGCATCCAAGGACCATTCTTAGTCAGATGTACAGTGTATATATCAAAGTCAGAAATGATTTTCCATTTGAACTCCAATTTTCTAGTATTTACCTCGATGCGCAGAGTTTCACAAGCTCAGTTACAATGTACATGCATTCTTCAACCAGGGCTGGTTTCATAAATCTTGTTATCAGTAACAAATCCTAAAATTCTATGACAATTTAGCACTCGGCCAATCAGATGCCACGATTACAGTAGCTTATAACAGTATTGTAACTTGTTATGGATAAAAAGTTTGTGAAACAGGGGCCTGGACTGCCACATTAACTGTCTGTCTGGAGCTAGAAGGGCTTTAACTCTCTATAGAATAATATGAGTTAACGCCCTTCTGGCTGCAAAGAGACAGAATATTCCTGTTTTAGTTTCTTCATTATAAAACATTGAAAATAGATGAACTGCCCAAGTTTTCCTTTCATGAAAGCGATAGACTGTCCTTGGTTTCAGCAAAGGTTGACCTATACAGTTAACAGCTAAATTATTCATGCCCCTTGTAAATTTAATGTTTTGGGGTTTTTCTTAACTCAAGAATGGAAGGTGGACTGGTTGAATTAGGGCCTTTGTTGAATACTTTTAGATGTAAGCTTGAATATGTCTCATTCTCAAGAAACATTAATCGTGACAAATCAATTTTTCATATACTTAAAAACTTGCAAAACTTGGTATTAGGGTATGAATAATCAAGTTGTTTATGGTATATGCACAAGAAAAAATGTAAGATTTTACCAAGTGTTAGTTGAAATTCACCTCTGCCACCAAATCTTTGATGTGCAATATCTCGATAACTAGAAAGTTCTTTATCTATGACATCATCAAAGGTCAACTGAGGTCAGATGGTGTTCACTTTGTTTGATAGTAGAAGGCACTTCGCGATCGGTATCGCAACTCAACGACCAATGATATAAACTGTATTTGTGGTAGCACAATTTTCAAAAGATCTGTCATCCTGTTAATTATGAATAGTTACCCAATTGTTACAGATAATTTTTGCGAGTGAGCGGCTTTAAAGGGAAAGGCGTACACTTGTTTCTATCTAGAAACTGCATGAAAGTTATTATAGGAATAAAAGTGTGCTCATTGAACCATGCTAACAGTAAGCAAAGAAAGGGCATCAAATGTAAATATTGTTTTGGGCATCAGAGCTGCATTGTATCACTCTATACTTAACACACACAGTTAACTCTGCAATCATGCAATCAGCCCTATCTCTTGGGACCACAAAAAAGGTTTGACTTCAATACAAAATTTAACTTAGGAAAGTAAAGAACACACGTATTGTATGATATGATCCCCCCCCCCCCCAAAAAAAAAAAAATATATATATATATATATTATTCAACTTGAGGAAAATTTGACTTGTGCGACTTTGAATTATGCATACTGGTAGTTAACTCAAACTGTATTATATTTGTTTTATTGCTCCTTCTAAATGGCATTATTTGTACATTTACCAGAAAATTTCACATTTTTGTTGATATTGTGCAATATGAAGTATAAATTGGTATCTTTTTGAAACAGAATATATTTGTATAGAGGTTGCATTTTAATTTAAATTTTTTAGAGAATTATTTACAAAATGTCTGCATGAGGATTTATATTTTGTTGTAATTGGTTTACTGTATGGTCAGACAGGTACATGTGTATTTGAGGTGAATATTTGTATGTGGAAAGCAACACATTTATTTGATAACAAAAATATAATTAAATGATCATATATATAGTTTTAGTTTTCTCTACAGAGCAGCACAACTCTCCCCATCTCCATTTTTTTTAAAGAGATCATTACTTGTTTAGAAAACTTTAAGATTAAAACTGTTTAAAAAAAAATTACAACGAAAAGAAAATGGAAAGTGTTAAGTTTTCTGCACATAATAGCACAACTCTTCCACTTATGCGCACTCTTTACACACCAAAGAACTTCAAAGGTTATGAAACATCATTATGTCCTTTGCTTTACGAACAGTAATATTAATATCATTTTACAGTCTTTTATGTATTTGTATGCATAATATTCCACATACTTGTCTGATCTAGAAACATTTGTAGTACTAACAATTATTTTGTTGATTTGAAATCTTGCCAAAGAATGTTACTACCATCATGTATAATTGAGTACATTGGTTCCAATTTTTTTATTTTGAATGGTTTGTGTTACAGATTTCATAATAGTTTTTATTCCGAAATGTTCAAAATTTTGGACCATGTATTTACATTTGTGTTTTTCTTTATATAGTCAGGGAGAGCTAGAGGTGATCAGCAAAGGCAATTAGGCAAAATATTATTTAGTTTGTTTTTAGAATCTAATAATTTGATCACAATTACCCAATATTTAACCCACAACCATTCAATGTCACTTTTGCAAGGTTATTTGTTATTTATTTATCATTCTTATTTTTTTGTTTAAATTTGTTATCCAGAATACCATGTATATTGCACATAATAGACGGGCACAAATCACACATTACAAAAAAAAATTGTTGCACTTCATTGTGCCATTTATCAATTTAAATTAAAAATTATCATGAAAGTCTTTAAATTATGTGTTGAGGAATTTATAATCACTATATTCTTGTAATTGGCATATTTGCGGGTTAAATATTGCAATTTCTATTCTCAAATGGTTCATTTGTTATATTAGATATAAGAATAATTGTTGCCATTTTGCGTAAGTATAGCTGATTACTGTGTAAGCCAATATTTTCATGAATGAAAGGTTGAAGGTTAAATCTGTGAGTTGTTAAATTAATCTCAATAAAATAACTGCAAATGTAGGCTACATGTATGCTTCAATGTATGGTACAAACTGTGGTACAAATTGTGGGAAAATGCTTAAAACTCTGCAGAAAATGCTTTCAAAATGTTTAAAAAGAAATCTTTAGGGTGTTTTGGTTTGTAAACCAATATTTTTTTGAATAAAAAGGTTGAAGGACAATTCGCAAGTTGTGAAATTAATCTTAATAAAATAACTGCAAATGTTTGTCTACATGTATGCTTCAATGTATGGTACAAATTGTGTAAAAAAAAATGCTTTCAAAATGTTTGAAAAGAAATCTTTAGGATGTTCTGGTTTGTAAAAATGAAAGTCAGAAGGTCAGTGTATGTCTTATATGTATGTGGTAGATACCCCTTTTTTGAGTGACATGTAAATATTCCATTATGTTGTCAACTATTGACATAAAATTGTAGTAAAACCTTAAAAATGTGGTTATGCCCATTTCTCATTAATTTCTTGGAGAGGGAGAAACAGAGATGGAAAAAAAGAGATGGAAAAAACAGAGATAGAGAGATAGAAAGAGAGAAAGAGAAAGGGAGAGAAAGGGAGAGAGAGAGAAAGGGAGAGAGAGAGAGGGGGAGAGAGAGAGGGAGAGAGAGAGCGAGCAAGATACAGACATAGATAGAAGGAGACGGACAGAGACAGAGGGGGAGAGAGAGAGGGGCATCTGCTGGTGTTTTAAAAGTGAAAATGGATGATAAGAACAATTGTCACTGAACACAGTATTGTGCATGAATGGATTTTAAAAATGCTATTTGGGACAAAGCATGTATTGTTGTCTAGTGAAAACAGTAAAATTACTACAACAGAGCATTTCAAAACTTTTTTATGTTTAAGAAAAACATTTATTATTTACATCTGTTGAGTTGACTGTGATTATTTGAAAAAACTTTTAATATACAAACACTTCAGAAACACATGTTTCAATAACTATGTACAAAAATGTACAATTATATAGACTTGTCATAAAAAAGCATGAACACACAGGGAGTTTCATGCACGTGCATAAACTTTTGAAACGAAATGCCTAAATACGGGAACCAAATTCAGTTTAAAGGGCTAAACTACTAGTCTACCACTAAACATTCCTCATAGTGTCATACCCATATGACTGAGGCAATATCTAACACAATGTTCCGTATTCCACTAATTCACTCTCTCGAAGACAAAATTAAAGTTAAACAATCAAAGAAAAGAATTAGACTAGACCTCAGTCAAATTTCCTTTGTTTAGACTGAGTTTAAACCCAGTGGAGTTTAAATCTTAGTAGAATACAGCAAAAGTTTGACAAAAAAATCTATACAATCATACTATCATAGTTCAGTAGACTTTTAGTGGCAAGAATTCGAGGGGCAAATACCAACTGTACAAGACTAAGTTTGTCCTTTAACACATTAACATTCGTGCATCAAATTAATAGTCACTGGAACGGAAGGGAACAATAACATTCATATTAATACATCAAGTGTACAATGGCGAAAGCCATTCTCATGTTTCAATGAAGCATTTATTTTTGGAAGTAAATGTTTGAGTTGTCAGTTGGCAGGAATCTAAGTAAATGTTGCTTCTTCAGATTGTCCTTTGGAAATCATTAATTATTTGTATTTATTGGTAACAATGGAGCATGAGTTGTCCCTTTAAAAAATGAAGAGACCTCTATCTCTTTTGAGATCCGCCAGCATGTCTAGTAATTATTTGTAATGAGGGCGTAAGAACTGTCACTTGGCAAGAATCCGAAGACGTCTTTTTCGTTGAGAGCGGCTCGAGTGAACTTCCAGATGTTGAGGTCATCTTCTTCTTCACTAGAAGCCGTAGAAGCTGAAAGAAAATAAATAGTCATAGGTCAACATCCATTAAGAAAGTCAAAGAACAGTATTGTCGTTTAAAGGTACGATTGATAAATTTCCTACATTTTATAGTTAAATAGATATGAAACTCTTATCATATCATGATTTTGGAAAAGTGATCTCCCTTAGTTCATTCATCTATTTTGATTCGTTTTAACATGGACTCTTTTCATATGTGAGCATTTAAAATCTGTAAATTGAAAAGATATCAGCTGATAGAAATAAATATAACTTACAGTATCAAATATCAATTCAATTCAATTGAAATTAAATCAAGTCATTTCATTTCAATTCAATTCAATTATATTCAATTTAAATCAAATCAAATCAAAGCAAAGCAAATGTCCATCCATAGTCCAGGTAAATGTGGCACGTGCATGAACACAAACCACAAATTATACAAGTTACCTTTTGGCAGATTCAGCCTAACATTTCTCCTCCTCTGTCCTTTCACGTTTGTTCGCCTCGTGTGTTTCATGCTAAGTGCCGATGAAGCAAAGGATGCAAGGGCGGGTGTGATTACACCATCATTCATCAACATGGCGGGCGTCACCGCTCTCTTCTTACGGCGAGAACTTCCACAGGTCTCATCCGCATCGATCACGACCTCGATGCGATCCAGTGCCTTGTTTCTACGGAGAGGGACGATGTAATCTTCGCTATCGAGGGAAGAGGAAGGGGGCTGAAGGGCGGGGTCCAGGTGCCGCATGTCACCCAGGTCAGCTTCGAAGAGGTCGTCCTCCTGCATGGCAGCATCGTCCGGATCGCATCTCGTCTGGTGGTGGTAGTCATAGAAACATTCCTCCTCATTGTTGATCTGCCGGTAGCAGTCCATCTCAAAGCCAGTCTCTGAATCGATGAAAGGTGTGGAAAGAATGTAGAATTGTACCGCACATGAATGTCTACTGAAGATATGAAGTTGGTTAGTTGGGCAAAGGGCACTAGCGCTTCAACTTGGTTTCAAACCCAGGTCGCCGGATTACAAGACTACTGCTCTACCCCTAACCCATCGCGCCTCACTCTAAGAGTCATTTTCCTTTTTAGGTGCGCTCACATAGGACATGGCAAACTGGGCCTCTTTTTTTTTAGGGGGGGGGGAATGATTTGAGCCTAATACGTTCCACATTTCTGTATCTCAAACATGCAAGTGAGTTTAATAGTCTGTTTGGACAACAAGTATGGGACAGACTACTTTCATTTAAGGCCAATGAAATCTCTTCTTTTTTTTCCCTCTCTTAGTTCAGTGCTTTTTCTCAAATAAGCTGACATTTCCTGGCCCCCCAAAACGGAACACATTTTCCTGGTTTCTCTGATATCAAGGAAAGCTAGGAATCCTGCCAGTGGGGTAGCTACAGGAGGGGTGGGGGGGGGGGGGGGTACCGCACAGCCCTCAAGGTCACTTACCCACAGCAATGCAGCTGTCCCCTTTGGAATCCTTCACCCAAAGTGACCTGAATCCCTTGAAGAGTTCCGGGGACTCGTCGTACCCCATGCTGCTATGTCGGGCTAGGGATGGGGGAGAGATGGTGCCGGTAGGGGGCGGGATGCTCACATCTCGGAGGCAGGCAGGGCTGGAGTCATCCGCGTCATGGTTTTGATCCAGGCATGGGGTGGGTACCGTGTTGTCTGGTCTGCTGGATCTGTTAGACAGGCAAAGTTATTTTGAGTTTGTGCTGCTATCTCACTCTCTCAAGTCATTCATTGGCCACTCTTTCATAGATGTGACATATGATCCTTGGTTCTAAGACACCACCCCCTGGACATCCACCCCCCCCCCGGATAACCACCCCCAGTCAACTACCCTCCGGACAACTATCCCCTACAACAACAATCCTCGAGGACATCTACCCCGGGACAACTATCCTAGAGGGTAGTTGTCTGGGGGGTAGATTTCCTAGGGGGTAGTTGTCCTAGGGGTAGTTGTCTGATGGGGTAGTTGTCCTGGGGGTAGTCGTCCTAGAGGGTAGTTGTCCTAGGGGGTATTTGTCTTACAGGGTAGTTGACTGGGGGTAGTTATCCGGGGGGTGGATGTCAAGGGGGTAGGTGTTTGGATACGATGACCCTTACCTTGTTACTGGACTATCCATCCCCAACAGGTCAATTATCTCCTCATCGGACTCTTCCGTGAAGTCCTCCATGTAGACAATGTCTGAATTCATTCGGTCCACCAGACGTTCCCTGATGATCGAGCTCATAGGACGGATGGGCGCATCGTACCTTGAGGGGGATAGCTTCTGTCCAAGATATCCCCAGGGGCTATTGGTGCCACCTGCAGGGGATCTGGACTCGCTGGAGAGGTCTATCTTTCGCTGTTGCATCGCCTTGAAGACTCCGCTGTACCTGAGACAAGGACAACAAAGGAAAGGACTATGAACTACTCAACAGACGGAATGAACTCATGCATATTTCATAGGAATCGGGAATCATTTTACTTATGTCTTATATACGTTCTACTATCCTTATTTAACTTTTAATACTGTAATATGCTTTGTATTGTATTATTCTATTATTGCAAATTATGTCCTGAAGTATGTTAAACTTTAACTTATGTGTATTTTACTTTCTTTCTTGAATTACTTGATGGTCGTATGCCCACAATTATACAATTTCCACACAACTGCGCCAGGAGTGTCATTTTTGACAGATAGGGCGCATTATAAATGTTCACTATTATTATTATTATTATTACTATAGGGGTTCAAAACGCCTCTACGGATTATATTTTGGGATTATTAAATGCTCTGACATTGTTTGGGGGGGGGGGGGGGGTGGGTAAAGGTCTATCAGAGACATGTTTTCTATGGCTATGGCTATGAAGAAGATTCATATTTCGGTAGGGAATACATGAGGTGTTGACGTTTTAAAGGCTATTTTGTTTTGTTAAAGAATATTTTAGGACAGGCCTACGTAACTGCCCTAGATTAGAATTATACGGGCAACAGAACGACTGATGAGGTTTGAGCCAAAAAGGTTAAGAACAACTGATCTTAAGTAACAAAGAAGACACTTATGAGTTTAGACCAGGCTTAAGAATGATATATGGATAAAAGAGGACCCTTAAAGTTATAGACTAGGCTTAAGACCAACTGATCTTAGGGAACAGATAAAACATTTCAATCTAGGCTAGGCTAGGCTAAAGAACAGCTGATCTAAGGAACAAAGAATAATCCTTATGGGTACAACAGATCTAAGAATAAAAAAGACAGTAAGGCTTACGAATGTCTGAGCTAATTAAATGAAGCACACACTTACGGTTGGACGGGGCTTAGCACCCTCCCAGTAGCAGAATCCCATGCCCGCACTCTGGCTGCTGTGGCTCTCTTGCGGTACTTCTTTCTGGGTGTGGTACATTTTTCCTGTTTCTTTGATCAAATAAAAATTTAATTGAATTACTGTATTTCAACTCAACAATTAAAAAGACAAGAACATTTCCATCATACAGCACAAAGAATTTACAAGGAAAAACATAATAATGCATGAATTAGAAGTAGGTAACAACCAGGAAGGAATCTTTTTTTCCTAAAGGCTGCTGTACAGCCAACCATTTATGTAACTGCCAATACACTGCGTCCCAGAAAAAACAAAATTGAGAATAATCAATGTTTTATCATAACTTAATCACAATTATAATTAATAAACGACACATATTTGTAAAGCTTAGATCCTCTTCTTTCATTTGATGCAACTCAAATTGTTTTTAATCACTCATGCATGAAATATGCATCATATGAGTTGCATCAAATGAAAGAGGATCTAAGCTTTACAAATGTGTGTCATTTATTGATTATAACTGTGATTAAGTCATGATAAACCATCAATAATTCTCGGTTTCGTTTTTTCTGGGAAGCACTGTATAGAGTCCATACCTTGAATTTGGTTCCATTTGCATTTTCGTTGAGGACACCCCCTCCTGAAAACTCCTTCCTCTTATCGTCTACCATCTCCTTCCGTCCGACCTGGGGCTCCAGGACCGGAGGTCTGGATGGAGGGCGCTGGTGTTTGGCAGCAGGTGGGACTGGGGTGTGGTTGCCTGTGAGAAGACCGGTGGAGAACCATGGATGACTGATGTGTAGCTCTGGTATGGATCCACTGGAACTGGAGCTACAGATTCAAATCCAAATTCATTGAAATAAAGCTTAACTTAATAATATGATCACTAAAAACCAATAGAGATTTAAGGAAACTGAATAGGAGAAGACAGGGGAGGTGGAAGAGGAAAAGAAGGAGGGTAGGAAGGGGGAGGGGTGATGAGGAGGGGGAAGAGGATGAATTATAGTAGGAGAGGTAGACAAAACCTGTATGGAAAAATCTTTTCGGTCATCAATAACGAAGAAAATGAACGTTTATGAAATTTTATGTACATAGCAAAGTGGCGAGGAGCTCGCAAGATACATCAGTGTTGCCAATTTGTGTATGATCGATAGCAATTTTAAAAATTCATTACTTTCTTGTTTTAAATTTGAATTTGCTTAAATTTTTATCGACCTGCTCCTTTCATTTTTTTGCTTTGATTAAAACCAACTTTACATCGAGGTGGAATTCCCTCATAATGGGAAGAGGGCAGGGTCAGCTTTTCCAACTAGTAATTACGTCATCGACACGTGAGAACAGAAAGATTGAGTTTTGACTTTGACTGGCTTACCTGTCATCCTCAGCCCAAGAAGTTGGTTCCTCATCACAGACCAGGTCTGGACTAGGTCCAGGAACCTTTTCGCTGTCCTCCAGAGATTCCACATCGTAAGCTGTGACGTGGGAATCAAATTTTAGATCAGGGCCCTGTGTTAAATTAATTTCCAATTGTTTTGGATCGATCGCAAGTTTGCAGTCTCCAATCTCTTAGGTACATAGTTGCAATTGATATCAATCACAAATAATAGAAACTGTTTATAAGACAGGGCCCAGGGGGTTCTGAATTAATTTGTTAGGCAGACCAGAAATATTTTTGAATTCATGTTGTTGGGCCGGAGTCTAAAACTTAAACATACAAATGGTTCTTGAACAGGTGGGTGGGTTGGTTGGGGGGATGTTCACCCACAGCCCCTAGAAATGCCCTTGATTGTGCATAAGTAGTTAAACATGCTTTATATCTGAGCTGGTGTGATTTTAACATCAAGATCAAAACAGTTCAACCTGAATATTTTAGTGACATGTTGAAAAGGACAATAGAGAGCTTGAGATAAATAGAGAGAGAGAGATTGAGAGAAAGATAGAGAGAGAGAGGAACCCCCCCCCCCCCCATAAAATTTCATGGGAAGGGGGGGGGGGATAGAAATGCCACTCTTGGTATATACTGCTACATACTAATGACCTTGAATGAACATATTTATTGAAAATGCTTATCTGAACTGCTGTGATTTCGGCATCAAGATCAAAACAATGTAACGTGATATGTTGACAAGGGCAATAGAGGGCTAGAGAAAAAGAGAGAGATTGAAAGGAATCCCCCCATTTCATATGAAAATGTTTTATAAACAGTTTATTTTATTATTGCAATTTATGTTTAATCCAAAATATCAATGTACAATGTATCCAGTTTTTTGTTTTAAATTTAAAAAAATCAATGGGGGGGGGGGGGGATAGAAATGCCCCTCTGGGTATATACTGCTACATACCAATCTTGACGGGAGTGATGGAGGTTCCAATGATCTGGTATGTCTTCATGGGTGTGGATATCAGGGATGATCCTCTCAAGAGCCCCGCCTTGCAAGGTGTCGTGCAGACATCGATCATCGGGCTGGACGGAGCTGGGAGGAAGGAGATATACATGAGAGAAAAGTATGATGGTCATCCACACTTATATATTCTGAAATGATGAACTCTGAAAAGCAAGATCGATGCATGCATCAACACAAGTTGATCAAAGCACTCTTGGACTTTAAGGATATCATTAATATTTCCTATGATTATATCCTCGTTTGTCATATATTTCCACCAATTTCTGGAAGATATGTACATCCCTCATAAGTAGAAAGTATGTAGAATAAAAAGTAATGTACATGGAATTTCTGTAAATTATGAATTATAGTCGAACCTGTCTATAGCGACCACCCAAGGGAAACACAATTTGTGGTCTTTGTAGACAGGTTCCTTTAGTACATGTTTCAATGAGAAACCATTTTCAAGGGAAACAAAAAATGTGGTCTTTGTAGACAGGTGGTCACTAAAGCAGGTTCACCGTTTGATGTATCATCATAGATGACCACTTGCACGTACCAAGAATTGTTCATGAATCCTAGACCTTTATTGAATCTTCATTCAAGTGGATACATGGTAAGAATATTTCTTGCAATAAATTGCACACTGATAATGGCTGCCGGAGCTAAAGCCAGAGTAACTATGATTTTCCAAAGGTTTTTGGAGGCTAGGGCATACTGATGATTTTGATTGTAATGTATACGCTCTACTAGAACATAATATAAAAATAAATATCTCTCGAGCATTTGTTATTGATAACAATTTTTATGAAACAGGGTTCAGGTACAAAGCTCGATCTACCAAAGATGTGAAGTCATATTCCTATCCAGCTACTTTTACATAGAACATTGCAAATTTGGACAGCCTCTTTGTTATATATTAAGCATAACATGTTTCATATTTCTGTAATACACAGGTGAGTGAGTCTGTTTGGACAAAAGGCCAATAAATAATATCAAAATTAATATCTCTTGATCTTACCACCTTTCTCATTTGTGTAGAGATTCTCCTGCTGCACATCCTCCTTTCTACCCTGTGGACTATAGGGTACCGTCTGTGACCCCGCCCTGCCACGCCCCATCCTGCCACGCCCAGTCCCCTTCCTTGTGCTGGATGGGTGGGGAATCTTTAAGGTGGGGTGTAGAATGGAACACAGGGGTACGACCTGGTCCTGGTTGGCCTCCGTGGAGGCAAGCTTGATGCGCTTCTGGGGCCTGGAGGGGGTGTGGCGGGCCGGTGGCAGGTGGATGATAGGGGAACATTTCTTCCGTTTCGCCAAGACGGGCGACTTCTTCAAGGACTTGTGCTTAGGACGCCTTCTTTTTGTCATTCTGCGTATGATGATGAGATAATTAAAGGGTGATAGTAGACATGTACAACAATACAACAATTTCTTTGATGACAATTGCTTTGGGCCTAACTTTGTCATCAAACACTATTAGGGTTGGAGTTTGTATCAGGTTTTTAGGTTAGGTTAAGGTTACATGGTTTCATATAGAGTTGAATCCTGAATTCAATTTAATACTTTGACTAAATGAATTGACCACTGAACTGGACATGTTCAGTAAACTATCAGAATTAAGTTAATTGTATCTTTACAGTGGGTATCATTTCTTACTTTGTCTCTTTTTATCTCCAAATTTCTCACCATTTCGCTTATTTCCATTAATGGTACAATTATCTCTCTCTCTCTCTCTCTTTCTTTTGCTCACAAACTAACACTTTCTCTCTCAGTCTTGGTCAGCAGTATATCGGTAACTCTCTCTCTCACTCTCAACTACTCAAACACAAATCAACCTTTTCTCCCTCTGTACACTCACCTCCTAATACCACCCTGTCTATCTGTAGGTGTCCTGGGTGTATGCTTAGCTGGTCTTTGAGTTGGGAGTTCACAACTCCTCTCTCTTTCTCTCTCTCTCTCTCTCTCTCCCTCTCTCTATTTAAAAGCTACAAACTGATCTCTCTCTCTCACACATACACAGACAAACCAACACTTTCGTCTTTCTGTCTCGCCCATACACCCACCTTCTAATTCCTCCTTGTCTATCATGAGGGGTCCTGGGCGAATCCCGAGCTGGTCTTTGAGTCGGCAGACCACGACTCCACCGCCTCTGCTGAAAGGCTACAAACTGATGATGAATGTCCTTTAGTTGTTGGAGGGGTGAAACCTTCTGCAACATCTCCTTTGTACCATTTGAGATTTCTGCAATGAAGTAACGATCACAAAAATTAAAAATTATTATGTAAAGCTACGGTCACAAAGGTTTGTTCGAACAATTATTTTGTACGAATCTCCCCGTTTTCCCATTGTCTTCCCGAATTTCCATTGCCTGAAAATTGTTTGTACGACGTTCGTAGCAGTTCGTTATGGCATTTGTGACCAAGGCTTAAGATGACACATACTTCTGAAAAATACCTTTGAGCTAAGTAAGCTTATATCTCAATTAAGCTAATTAAAATTAATAAATCCATCCTCTCCCCCCCCCCCAAAAAAAAAGGACTTGCAAAAAAGTTGCTAATTTGGTCACACCCGGGACCCCTTTCATAAACTTAAAATTAATCGTACCATTGCCATTCATATCTACGATGGTTACTTCACTCAAAGGCCAATCAAATCAAGGTTTTCATGGAAGTTACCGTAAATGGCAAAGTTACCATCAATGCTAGGTTTTATGCAAGGCTAATATGCTACTTACCTTTGGTTTGCTGTAATGCAACAAGAACGCCTTCCAAGTATTTTATCCTCACAAAAGACTGATGCAAAATGGTCTCCTACAAAACATAGATGAGAAAAAATAAAAAGAACACACAATTTCCTCAGAATCTTGAAAAAAGCAGGGTCGACCAGCTTGTTCAAAGACAAAAATTAAATAAATTGACAAATAAGTACATCATATCATATGAAACATTATTTTGTATTTCATAATTTTCTTTCACATTTGTTCATTTAATTTATCTCTTTCTTCAACTAAGACTGATAAATAAGCATCAGTGCAGTTTCTAAAAGGGGCTGTATTTTAGGGATGACTTACAAGCACAACTGATTGTGACAGTATTATAAGATTTGTTATCAAGTTATCAATCCCATTATTCAAGCCCTCTTACAGATAGAGTAATGAAACTGTATCGCCTATGCAGAACCAGAAGGGCATTTAGTAAAATCTATGAGCTAACAACTTTCTGGCTCTAAACAAACGATAAACATTATTGAATTTTCTGACCTTAGAAACCTTTTCCTGACTCCCTGAAGCATAGACCTGCTCTTTGAGTAGATCAAATCCAGCAGTGATATTGGCTCGACACTTGGCGTCCGATTCTCTTCTTTTCAGCTTTTTATCATCATAGGACTCCATAAAATCACCTTGGCAGTACTGTGGGAAATATTTTAAGGAGTGATAGGCCTACTAGCAGTGGATGAAACATTGATATAACTTGATTTAAAAAGTATGTGGATGTTGTTTGTGACAATATACCTAGTACAATCTATAGAAGATATTAAAGTATACCCAGATATTGTGTGTCAGACAGGATGGGTATCATCTGGACAGTTGATTTAAAAAGAAAATTGAAGACGTTTACAAGTAATATTTTATAAATCTTCTAAGACATAAAATTATATTGGACAATATAAAGGACTATGGTAAGTGTTATTTGATGAATATTTTCTATTAAATCTAAAGAGTAAAGGCAACAGAGAAGTCTTCAAGTTTCTTGATAGTTCGAATGTTCAGTAAAAGGCATTTGAAAATACACAGATTTTGTTTAAGTCACAAATAAACCTTCACTACAGGACATTGGATCAGCAACGGTTATCTACAGAAGGTATAAAAGTACCGGTACTGCATGTTTACCAAGGCAAAAGAGAAACCTTTAAAGGCTTAATGTTTGTTGAGAGTCCAGACAGCAGAAGGCATTTGAAAACAGAATTATTTTTTGTTCAAGTCACCAATAAACCTTCACTACAGGACATCGGATCAGGAACGGTTATCTACAGAATACAGTAAAGAACTGCATTTTTACCACAGCAAACAAGAAGCCTTTATGTGTATAGTCTGGATGGCTGAGAAGGGCATTTGAAAATACATGGATTTTGTTTAAAGTCACAAATTAACCTTCACTACAGGACATCGGATTAGCAACGGTTATCTACAGAAGATATTAAATTACTGCATGTTTACCATTTCCATTAAATGATCTCGATGCTCCTCAGAACCTGAGTATATTCCTTCATGTAGCTGGTCCATTGTCTCTTCATCAAGCCCTGAATAGGAAAGAATTACAAAATGAAAAAGTTACTTATATTTATTTAGATCTTATTACAAGTTACATACATAAAGATGATTTTTCAAATTAAAAGTTGATTTTAGTTACACATAGATCTAGACTATAATATAATTTAGAAGTTAGAGACTTAACTAAGACAAGTGTAACACGTACTACTAAAGTAGACCTATAGTACTAGGACTCGTACTAAATTCAGGTCTGAATGTATTCAATAGTAAACGGCAAGGACCAAGGTACTGATTTATATTCGTAGTCAATTACCTTTTGTTCACAGTGGCAGTACCATGTTACACTGCATAACATTCATTACTCTACTGGTACTGCATACACATACCTACGATCACGATCAACCAGGCCAGACCAGTCACACATTTACATGCACAGTAGCCTAGCCCTAGTATATCTAGGCCTTCGGCTACGCCAACGATACCCACACGCGGGCGCGTACGTACGCCACACTCCCTGGGCCAGGTCGTGGCCGGGTCCGGACAGTTGAATTATTTTCGAATTCAAACGGCAATATGAAGAGGTTAATCACCAGTATTAATGTTTCATAAATCGTTTACGTTTGTCCCCCAATATTATAAATGACACATATTCCAAACTCTAGACCTAACAGTTAGATCTATTTGTTATAAATATAAGGCAAGTCTTTACTTTCATTGAGGCAGCATCTCTAGACAAACTCAAACTCAAAGACAAACAGTGACAACCGGCCCCCCTATTCCGTTGCATAATGCCAGACTCAGATCTAACTGAGAGGTAATAATATATAGGGACATTTGAACCGGCTAGCTTGATTCCATACTCACCAAACTTGGAATGCTTGAATTTAATTTAAGACAGTTAACTGGATTCTAGATCTAGTCTAGATCTAGATCTCTATTTGCGATTCCTCCTCCAGATCATGTCATGAGATATAGAAGTCTACCAAGTTCTCGGATCAAATGACGCGCGCGTTACGTTCGACTCAAGCGCGCGAAGCGCTAGTATAATGCAGTCGGATCGTACGTGCGTCGAAAGCGCGCATATTTACTTTCGCGTGCGCATACTTAACAGCACTCATATTATGACAATAATTACCCCCTGGACATTTACCCCCCCCCCCCCCTCGTAAAATTACCCCAAGGACAATTTCCCACACGTACACCCCTGAAACTTACCCCCTAGGGCAATTACCCCCTTCCTCCAAGTCACAATCAAGGACAACCTTATCCACCCCGAGGACATTATTACCCCTCCCCCCGAACATTACCCCCTTGTTCATTAAAGGGCAAGTCCACCCTGATAATAAGTTGGTTTTAATAAAAGCAGAATAGTTTTTTTTTCGGGGGGGGGGGGGAGGGGAGGCCGGGTGATTGTCCAAGAAGATAGTTTTACAGTTAATCATTGCGTCTTATTGAAGAAGTTACAACTAATGGGTTTTGATAAGGGAAGTTTAGATTGGTTTAGATCCTACTTATCTAATCGGCACCAAGTAGTGGCCATTCATGATATTCGTTCCAAACTAATGCCTATAACTTGCGGTGTTCCTCAGGGAAGCATTTTAGGCCCAATTCTATTTTCAAGTTATATAAATGATATGTGTATTTGTATAAAAGACTTCAAACTATTATTGTACGCAGATGACAGCGTACTACTCTATTCAAATCCTGATCCTAAATATATTGAGGAAAAGCTCAGTGAACAGCTGTCTACGTGTGTCGATTGGATGACTGATAATAAGCTTTCTTTACACTTGGGAAAAACAGAAAGCATTTTATTTTGTTCTAAAAGTAGTTCTAAAAAGTCATTTGAATTCAAAGTGACACACAATAATCAAGCAATCAAGAGAAAAGAGTCTGTGAAGTATTTAGGCATTGAGTTGGCTAGCGCAATTTCATTTTCATCTTTAGTAGAATCAGTTGTAAAAAAAGCAAATTCTCGTCTGAAATTTTTGTACAGATATCAAAGTTGTATGGATTTAAAAGCAAGACGTACACTCTGTTTTGCTCTTATTCAATGTTTATTTGACTATGCTAACCCTGCATGGTATAGTAACATAAACAAGTCAGATCAAAAGAAGTTGAAGATTATACAAAACAAAATGGTGAGATTTATCAACTGTTCTGGTCCAAGAACTCATGTTGGCTACAGCGAACTTTCTAAAGCTCGTTTTCTTGAAGTCGACCAAAGATCAAAACAACTCGTATTGCATCATGTGCATAAAATATATCATACTAGGTCGAATCATTATATTCGATCCAACTTCGATCTTGTTACTGACGTACATGATTATAATACAAGAAATAGACGATTCAACTTTAACTTACCTGAAAGAGTAGGTAGTATTGGAAATTCGTTTTATTACAATGCCATAAAACATTGGAATTCCCTTCCCAATGGTGTAAAAGAAATAGGAAACTATGATCATTTTAAGAGGAAATTAAAGGAATACCTAATACTTGACAGTCAGAGAAGAGAAGTGAATGACATGTTATATGATTGAAATTTTTATTCTTCTGTCGGTTCATACTTTTTCATGTTACTTATGTTTTCGTACGTTATAGAAATTCTACAAATTCATCATTCCTCTTCTTCCTTCTCCTCTTTTTCTTCTTCTCCTTCTTCTTTTTCTTCTTGTACTTAATATCATTTCTATCATCAGTTTAATGTTGTTATTATTATTATTATCTTTAATAAGTAGTTCTTTTAATTTTCTTATCTGTCTGTAAATATTACTATTTTAACTTATTAATTTTATACATGTCTGTAAGGGACCCCACTGGAAATAAGCTCTCGAGCTTTCGTGGGTTATCCTGTTCAAGCTGACTTATTTCTGATCTGTTATTATTGTATATTGTTGTATGTTGGAAGCTTGTCGAATAAAAAGCAATCAATCATCAATCAAGGGGGTGGGGTAATTGTCTGCGAATGCCTGTGTGCAGTAGCGTAATGAGCAAAAAAATTATGGGTCAGAACAAAATCCGCATCCCCACCAAGTAGCATGATGCAGCGTCTTCCAAATGGGGGGGGGGGGGGGGGGGGGGGGCAACAACAAAGGCTAACCTACATCGTCCTGATTTTGATTACCCTACCAGGGATAATATCAATATTTGTTTCTGAGCGAGCAACAAATTTAAGATTTATGAGGTCCCAGTGCGAAAAATTACATCTAATAACGAACTCTGATGAGTATTAAGCACAATCTAATGAAGAAAGGCTGAAAAGTTCTTTTATATGTAACATAATTGTAACATCTATAAATGCGAACGAGCTCTTATAGGGAAAGTATTAAAAAAAAGGCCCTAAGTCGCCTTGAATTAGGGGTGGATGTTATGGAGAAAGTAAAAGTAGAGTAGTAGACACTATCAAGAGGGAAAAGGACAGTTATTAGAAAAGAAAAGGGGCGTTTGTCATATGTAAACATTTTATTTTTAGGTGCCTGTTAAAGGAGGCACAGCCCCTATCGGGATATAAATTGAGTGTGTTGAAATTTGAAAATCGCACCGGCCGATATTTTGCTCAAAACCCCTTCCCCCTTTGAGCTTCGCAAAAGGTAAATTTCTGGTCATTTTTTTTTAAAAAAACATTTTTTTGGGGGGGGGGGGGGGGCAGGGGGGGGGGCAAAGCCCGTTCGCCCCCCCTTCGATCCGCGCCTGATTAAAGCAACAAGCCGGTGTAATATCAAAGGTACTCTAAAAATGCAACTTTTCAATTTCCAAATTAATGGGGAAATTATTTCGGTCTGATATGCCTGACCTCTTAACAATCGAGATTTACCTAGGGAATCGCAATAAATGCTAGATTACTATAATTCTGATTATCCTATTATTAGTATCACAAAATGCAAAGTCATCCCATTTATTTAAAGAGTGAGATTAAATATGTTATTGTGTTCATGCTCTCTTGAATATATTTCAATAGCGGGGGGGGGGGGGCTGAGCATACATTTCATTTTTCTATGCTTAGCCTAATCCAATTTTTTTGCTCCGTCATTTATTTACGCCGCTGCACACGAACACACACGCACACATTCCCACACGCCCGTTCTTTTCTTGGCCACGGGGGAGGGGGAGGCCCGCTCGCCCCCTGGATCCGCGTCTGGTCAACTGTCCCCCCTAAGCCCCCCCCCCCAACCAGTACGCCAGTGCCTGTGTTATCAAAAGTACTCTAAAAATGCAACTTTTCAATTTCCAAATTAATGGGGAAATTATTTCGGTCTGATATGCCTGACCTCTTAACAATCGAGATTTACCTATAGGGAATCGCAAGAAATGCTAGATTACTATAATTCTGATTATCCTATTATTAGTATTACAAAATGCAAAGTCATCCCATTTATTTAAAGAGATAGATTAGACATGTTATTGTGTTCATGCTCTCTAGAATTTTGTTCAATAGCGGGGGGGGGGGGGGCTGAGCATACATTTCATTTTTCTATGCTTAGCCTAATCCAATTTTTCGCTCCGTCATTTATTTACGCCGCTGCACACGAACACACACGCACACATTCCCACACGCCCGTTCTTTTCTTCTTTTTTTGGCCACGGGGGAGGGGGAGGCCCGCTCGCCCCCTGGATCCGCGTCTGGTCAACTGTCCCCCCCCCCCTAAGCCCCCCCCCCAACCAGTACGCCAGTGCCTGTGTTATCAAAAGTACTCTAAAAATGCAACTTTTCAATTTCCAAATTAATGGGGAAATTATTTCGGTCTGATATGCCTGACCTCTCAACAATCGAAATTTACCTATGCCGGGAATCGCAAGAAATGCTAGGTTACTATTATTCTGATATCCTATTATTACAAAATGCAAAGTCATCCCATTTATTTAAAGAGGGAGATTAAACATGTTATTGTGTTCATGCTCTCTAGAACATATTTCAATAGCGGGGAGGGGGGGGGGGGAGCTGAGCATATATTTCATTTTTCTATACTTAGCCGTATCCATTTTTTTCGCTCCGTCATTTATTTACGCCGCTACACACGAACACACGCACACATTCCCACACGCACGGTATATTATCAACCCGCACAATGACGAAGCGTGCGTGCAATAGATAAAGGAAATCGATGCTTGATTGCAGATCCTCGGAGGCTATAACAAGCCCGTCATTTCGGTTCAACAATCATTGGCTCAAAAAGATTTTCGAGCAATCGGAAACAGACAGACCTGGGGTTTCGTTATCAAACGTTAATGATAGATCATGGCTGTAGCAGGAAAAAGGATCGCCTATGCGGAGGCTTTTGACGGAGATGTGAAAGATTCGAATTTCCGTCTTGAAAAAATCCAGGTTCCTGCGCCTAAAGATGGAGGTAAGGTTCGAAAACAATTTCTATCTTTCTTCATTTATCTTTGTCTGAATAAGCGTAATACATGATACAAAAGGATATCTTTGTGATAGGGCGCGTTTATCGGGGCTTGCCACTAGATACATATCGTACCCCACTATTGAACCCCACTATCATACCCCACTATACGATCGTGATTTGCGGGATGTCGCGTTTATCGTCCCTTCACGATTCAAAATAAAGGCCTTGTGTCTGCCCAGCTGTTTTGACCCGGGAAGCAGACAGTTTCTCGGAGGTCAACTTCACACACATGCTTGTACACAGCACCTGGGGTCCTATTTGTATGTGAGGTTCAAAACAGCTTTGCGTTTATCGATCTCTCAGAAACGTGATTCTGGCTGTATGTCACATACAAAAGACACCTTTTTGCGTCTTTAGATATGCCCATATCTAAAGCCCTTTAAAAAAGGCTTTGCGTTTATCACCTTCTCAATTTGCCTGAAAGACGTTTGAGAAACCTGATTCTAGCCAAAAATTTGGTCGATAAACGCAACCTTCATAAAAGCAGGGGTGGCGATCCCGGGGTGATTTACAAGGTTATTGCAATTGGCGTAAGTTGATATTTTCGAAAGATTTGCAATCATGTTACATATAAATTGTATGAATGTTAATGAAATCTTATGGCCAATTAGCGTCTAATGAATAATAATGATAATGCCATATCAATGTATTTGTATATTTCCCGAGCGCCCGAATATACCCTAAAACTCTATCTGATATATTAAAAAAAAATGTTTTTGACATGAAAATATTCTAATAAATTACGCAGATAACCCACTCTCCAAATATACTCTACGATTATCTTTCAGCAGAGTACAAGAGTTTTACCTTGCCTGTTATATCTACATTTTTCGAAATGTTCGTACTTATTTTCCGTACATTATACTTGATTTGAAATCTTTAATTTTTTATAATTTTTTTTTCTTATGTCAAATCTACTCTTATACACTGTACGCTTGTACAAACAAAACAGAATATATACTGTTTTTTTAATGTAAAATGTGGAATAAATAAAACTTCAAACTTCAAACTTTAGAAATACAAACATCAGTCATAGACGTACAGGCACATTTCGGCGAGGAGATTAGGGGGGGGGGGGGCGTGCTGCAAGCATTTTCGCAATACCAACAAGAGTCTCTAAATTTCCTTTTTTTCAGAGGTTCAGCTGGAAGCCGTGTATCTAACGGTAGACCCTTACATGAGGTAAGAAACTATACTACGTTCCAGTTTACACAGTGATTTGATATTCCGTAGCATTTTATTTCAATTTTCTAATGTCAAACAAAAGGTCAAGTTCTGATAAAAGATGATAACTTTGGGGCTTTCTCAATATTCAAATTCAGTTTGGTGGAACAGATAGCAGAAAATGATGTTCCCTGAAAAGTATTGCCCTTCAAATACGCTCATATTCGAAATATATCAAAGAAAAAAGCTGAAAAGTTTTTACTCAAATTGATATGCTACATTATTTTGTGTGTCGACCCATTTCTGCGTGCAATGTATGTAATCAATTCAGTAAAAGCGAGTCAATTTGTTTTTAATTTCCGATCAATTCAAACCCTCAAAAATGACCCGGCCGTGTCACAATAATGACAAAAAATGACCTGGTGCAAACTTCACAAAAAAACAAACAAATCTAACAAGGTACGCAGATATATCAGTTCAAATATCTCGTGCAAAGCGTCCAGTGAATCGGGGCAAAGTCATTATCTCGACGGAACAAACAAATATTTGTCCTTGTAATTGAGTGTGCCTTTAGATAATACCCCAGCAAAATATGAACAAATAACATTGTACAGCAACTGGTTATTAAAGAACAATATCGTGGAGAATGAAAATTAGTATAAGCATGATAAGCGTCTACAAGCAAGGACATAGCTCGGAATATTACAATTTATTTTCTCTATGATGCCTGAGTGGGCAGAAATATATCAAGGGAAAGTGCGAGAAGAGAGGGGACGAGTAGATATATGATAATTATATATATATAAGGGGAGAGAGAGAGGGGTAGGAGAGAGAGAGAGGGGGGGGGGGGCGAAAGCGAGAGAGAGAGAGAGAGAGAGAAAAAAAGAAGTAATCAGATTTAGAGACAGTTTTGAAAGGAGGGGACAATCATAATAAGCAGAAAGAGAGAGAGAGAGGATGAGAGAGAGAGAGAGATAGAGAGAGAGAGAGAGAGAGATAATGACATGACAAATAAGTACAAAATGAGATTATATTTAGTGACATTGTATTTATTTCCATTTAAGGAATAATCTTTCTTTTCGTTATTTTGCCATTTTTTTTTGGTAACGTCCATTACATAAACGACAATGAGAGCTATCCCATAACAAACTCATGTTTAACCAATAATTATCCACAGGAACCAGGCTATTCCTGGGGGGGCGGGTTCACAAAGCCTTTTTTGAATGACAAATTAAAACATTCAGTGCAAATCTGCTGATAACCAATCAGACGCAAGGATTTCAGTAGCTTATAACCCAAACTGTCATTTGTCACTCGGACAAGTTTTGTGAAACGCCCCCCCTGTATGCTGGGTATTACGAGAATACAGTAATCGATGTGGTAGCAAGACCTTGTGTTTTGTTCATGGACATGAGAGGTCACATTCACGGCTCACAACTTTGGACTTTAGACTTCATATTTTGTGCAAGTCACGGAGTCTAATATTTGCAGACGGAACAATGGATGTTTACCTAATAGCGTTCATGATTGATTGGAATAGAACATGTTCTCGTTTTGTTTTTAAATGTGTATGCTTTTTGAGCTTGCACCCGAGGCATGACTCGACAAAATAGGGATATATGAATTGTGATTAATAAGAATAGTGTAAGTGATTAATAATTTATTAACACAATGTACATAGAAACTATGCTGCGAATGATGATGTTGTTGATCGTGGTTGTGATGATGATAGGTGTTGATGATGATCTTGATGATGATGATGATGATAATATTGATAGTGATCTTGCTGATGATGGTGTTGTTGTTGTGGAGGACGATGATGATGATGACGATGATGATCTTGATGATAATGATTTTGATGATGATGATGATCTTGATGGTGATGATTTTGATGATAATCTTGATGATGATAATAATCTTGATAGTAAAAGTTGATGATGATGGTGTTGTTGAATATGATGATGATGATGATGATGGTGTTGTTGAAGATGATGATGATGATGATGATCTTGATGGTATCGATGATGATGATGATGATGATGATGTTGTTCATGATAATGAGGTCTGTCATTACTCGAAAGGTGAACCAGCGCTATAATGAAATGAACCTAACAATATAATTGCTTCTGTACTCCCTTGTTGAATTCATAATTCGAGTGCACCATTACAAAGAATATACCCAGACTCTGGCTTCATGAAAATGTCTGCATAATTATACCGGCAATGAACAATGTCTATTTGCACTTGATCCTGGTGGACAAACACCCTTCTTAGCTCAACCAAGCGCAAATTTTTCTAAGCGTCCGTGTGAGGGTAGATGACTTTGCAAAATATGGAAAACATGATAATGTCACGTAAAATATATCTGAGGAAATGTTATGTGAATTTGGAGGGTACTTTTTAATGTGCGCGTCGGGTAGATGACTCGACAAAATAAAATCGATTGAAAATGAAAATTAAGATTCAGCATTTAATACTGTTATTGGAAATTGTACTAATCAACTGTAGAAGATTTTGATGAAATAATGTGGATGTTCTAGAAGGATTTATACATTTAACACATGAAAATTATCCAACATTTGGAGTGCAGGTTATCTTTACACTATCTCTTTTAAAATGAGTAATGTTCTTAATCATCATTCCTAACTGGCTTAAAGATAAAGTATGATTCTTTTCATCGAAATTGCACTGATTTTTTTTTCTTCAGGAAGCAATAATGGGAAAAGGTGTAGAGCTATCTCCTAAATATTATATATACACCTCTCAGTGAAACTCTGTAGATGCACTGCAGCTCATGGTATGTAAAGTCTAAAAGATATCAAGTACCTCGAGAATTATTAACCAAATTGAAGGGCAAAGTTCCGAGTGTGGTAATTGATGACTCCGCAAAATATTAATAAAAAGATAATGTAATATTACATTGTGGAGGATAAGTGCTATGTAAATAGTACTGGTTTTCATTATAATGTGTGACCGAGATGGTTATCTCTAGACACAATGGATCAAATGTTAGATTAAGATTATAATGAATGATAAACTAATATCATAATCTTATAGCAAACACAGTAACACACTAAGTAGTGCTGTATTTATGCTCTATGCAAACAGTTCTAGACTGCGTGCAATCAAGCACGATTTTTTTAAAACTTGAACAGACTTGAGATCTTTTTGAAAAGTTTTCAAGTTGGTGGTAGTTGTCTACTGGATGAAATCTGATTCAGCCATAACATCTCCCCCCCCCCCCCTCCCCCAAAACACAAAAACACTTTTGTTTTGTCTGCCCCCGGGAAATAAATATATACACACATATAATATACCCTTTTTTATTAGCAATTATAATTGATCGATCTGATGGTAAGACTTTTTGCAGACAATGTGAACCTACGATGCCATCTGTGATGAAAGAATAGTACAGTATGCGGGCAGTGTGTTACTAATATGTAATAAAGGCGATAACGTATACAAAAATAAAAGAATATAATATTCGATCGAAAAAGGACAAATTAAAGAGCAAAAAATAAGGGGAAAAGGGAAGCAATCAGTCGTGGTAAATGCCAATGGAAAGTTATAGGTTCATGATTTTTTTAAAAGTGAGTTTGGAATGAAAACTATATAAACATATAAATTATGATCTTGAAGATTGACGATGGCATTGTTTGAGAAAGACCAACATCAGATAATAAAGGGGGACAAAAAAGGAAGACCTGTCGACTTTATAAATTGTTATGATAAGAATAAATAGCCTCATATGACAACAAGACATAATTAAGGTGGATGTCTAATTATCATGCAGTTGTGGTATCCGTTTCGATGAGTGAGTGTGGTTTTTTTATGGGGGAGCAGGGGGGGGGGGGGGTGATCGAATTCAGTCGCCCAAATTTCTCCTGCGGAAACACACATGACTCTAATGAAGATGGATGTGAGATCTTTAAACAAGAAATTGGACTAATGTGAGGATGTTCTGAAACAATTGTTAGTACTTGACAGCATTCAAAAGAGAACTTTTCAATATCTAAGATGCACTTACATTAATTTTGTCAACATTTTCACAACTGATTGAGCTTACTTTTTTCGTTGGACAGTGTTTTTTGTTTTGTTTTGTTTTGTTTTGTTTGTTTGTTTGTTTTTGTTTTTTTTTTTTTTTTTGGGGGGGGGGGGTATTATTAGACTTCAGGTCTTCCCCCGCCCTCAAAATGGGGGAGGGGATGCATACCCCCATCCCTTGAAGCCCGAGCTTATGATTTATGTTTCTCAATGAGTGCATATAACGATATAGGATCAGTGTCTGTTTACATTGCCGTTGAGTCCCTGCCGTTTAATAAGCATGTGTATTTTCTCCTCACCACCTGACAGATCATTACTCAGCAAATAAATGCAAAATTTCATTAAAAGACCCCGACCACGGTTGGTTCTATGATATTGTTTAAACAAAAATTAAAACAATCAGAAAACAAAATCGGAAAAAATATAAAAGCCAAACCAAATCAAGCAACCAGAGAATGAGAAAAATCCAAGAAGATACAAACAAACAAAAAACGAACCAGGCAAAAACAAACATGACAAAGAGGGGCCCGATCTGGTCAAAAACGGGTGGAAGGTCAGGACCCTTTTCAGACCCCTACTCTTTCCATCTTGAATCCATAATGTACATTTTGAGTAGCTAAATTTTCTTTTCGTTCATAATATCTTAATTACTGTTCCTTGTTTGACTGTTATGATTTTTATGTTTCTTTTCTGTTGTATAGCGCTCTGATCAGTTTGTCTGTAGTAGCGCTCAATAAGAATCAATTATTATTATAATATTATTATTGATCCCCCCCCCCCAAGGCATAATAAGTTGACCTGGGAGGATGACTTTGCAAAAAATGTGTTTATCAACACGTACAGTTATTAGTTATTCGTTCATACTTTGGAGATGTGTTGTGTACATTGTGCAGTACAAGCATCCATTTGGATAAGATGTAGGGTGCTGGATGACTCGACAAAATATGAATAAATGATTACAATCATACTTTGATCGTATTTTGTCTATCATGAAGCTTTTTTTAACAATTACGATAGATAGGAACTCAATAGTGTATAGAATATAAGTCAGGTTCAACTGTTGATAGTACAATGTTGCAGGTAAAGTTGGAATAATTGTTTCCTACTTGTTGTCAGAAAAACGTAAACATATGGCTTATTCTTGATTGATAGAGTATCAATCTTTCAGAACTTTATTGACACATAAAAGAGTCAAAGAGATTGATCAATAAAGTTCTGAAAAGATTTATAAAGTTATTCTAACTTGTATTTAACCTCTTTTGTCTCAATCGTAATTTTTGTTTTTGTCTTTTTGTTTTTTGTTCATTGTAGATTATTGACTCCACCGGTGGGGGAAACAATGGTCGGAGAGCAAGTCGCAAAGTAAGACACTCATTATTTCATTACTTTCTTGGTATTAAGAAAACAATATTTCTATCATTTAAGAATTCATAAATGATAAGACATGATTATAATACTAATAATGATAGTGATAATAATAATAATGATAATAATAATGATAATAGTAATTAAACATTTTGTACAGCGCGTAACACATGTGCATAATGACATGTCTCTATACGCTTTACAGAACAAAATACAGAAGGAGTGGAAATGGTGCTCAGGGTTCATCATTGTAAGATGTTAAGATGTGCTTTACAGGTGTATATATGTATATATTCAAATTACTTCTGAGCTTGTCTTGTGTTTCTATATTTCTTAGGTATTCCGGCGAGTTATTCCATAAAACAATTGCTGTGATAAATATATGTACGTTTGTGGGTGTATTAAGTCGATGTGTTGGGAAAGCGGATTGAGTATTAAGATTTTATTTTGGTACAAGTACGATATTAAATTGAAAACAAAATCTACTTTGATACTACCAGAATCAGTCATGTGTTTCTATTATTCGTCTGGGCCCTGGTCTCACAAAGAGTTGATATCAATCGCAGCTATGTACATAAGAGATAGGAGACTGCAGACTTGCGATCAATTGGAGGACTTAAGATTGATTCGGATTAATTGTAACTCTTTGTAAGACGGGGCCCTTGTCTATAATTGGAAATAATACGAACGATCTAACTGGCAGTAATAAAATAAAAAGTTATTAGATTAATTTAAAAAAACTACCAAGGAAAGCTTACAGTAATCAGCTTTCGTTTCCATGTATATATTAAAGAATTTGTAATTGTTTTTTGTTTTGTCCACCAGGGTGGTTGCGAGTAAGGATAAGAATGTTCCTGTAGGTACCTTGGTTCAAGCCCAGACTGGGTGGTCATCGCATTCTATTGCCAAGGGAAGTGACGTCGTACCGGTACCGAAATTCACTTCAAACGATTGGCCAAAGTCTCTGGCACTCGGTCTGCTCGGTATGCCTGGGTAAGTTCGCTCTTATAATATATATTTATTTTAATGCCATACTGTCCTATTTGTAGCTACTTGCTCCCTCTATATAGAAAACTTCCCCAATGGGTGCATGTTGGTCCCCCATGATCCTGTTTTTCTTATGTTAATTGAGAGCTGAGTTAATGAGATAGCCACCTGTCACAGTGACCTCGCTGGCTAGCTGGGAGGTCTAATCCCTTCTGGCTGAACTAGTAAAGCCTCCCTTTAAAATAGATTTGTAAGCACTCAAATGTTATTAGAATTATATTGACTAGGCTTACAATACTTTCAAATGATTAGGATAAGTGGACAAGAAGTTGTAATAATGTTTTACAACACAAAATACATGTTTACATAGCACGCATATTGCAGTAATTTGTTGACAATGGTGATATAATTTTCCTTAAAAAGAAAATTAGTATGTGAGGCTTATAAGACTGAGTGCAAAAAATACTATACGTATAATATTAAAGGTAAAGACCAGTAATGGTCATGCGATTGCATTGTGAAAGAAACGTTGTGGAATCGATCAGAAAAGGTTGATCATCTAGCATCTAGCATCTGCAAGGTTCTGGAATCATCAAAATGATAAGAAATTTGGCCCATTCTTCGTAAAGTTACAAGCACTATACACAGAAAGATGTATATGGGACTACCCTATCTCTCTCACCAGACCATGAGAGAGATAAATTTACCAAATATATGAATTAGTAGGCAGTTTCCCGGCAAATTTTTTATCATCATGTATTAGTCAAAACATATTCTTTCACATGATTGGTAATGAGAGCTTCCATTTCATTTTTTGAAATTGGGGCGTTGCCAATACTGGTCTTTACCTTTAAGAAAACAATTTTTGGATTTGCTTTGATGCAGAATAACGGCTTACTTTGCCTTTTTGGACTGCTGTCGTCCAAAAGCAGGGGAAACGGTAGTTGTGAGCGGAGCCGCTGGTGCCGTGGGCGCGGTCGTTGGACAGATAGCCAAAATCAAGGTAAGATAGTAAAGAGAACAGTTTCTTTATATGCTTAGTCCAGCCCCTGACCTCTTTCTGTCTGTCTGTCTGTCTGTCTCTTTCTCTCTGTCACTTCGTCTCTCTCTGTTTCTTCGTCTCTCTGCCCGTCTTTTTCTGTCGCTCTATCTGTTTCTACCTGACTCTGTATGCATGTCTCCCTCTCTGCGTCTGTCTTTCTCTCTCTCTCTCTCTTTCTACCTGTATGTCTCTTTCTCTCTTTGTCTCTCCTTTTCTCTGTCTCTATGTCTCACTTTGTCTCGCTCTGTCTCTGTCTCTGTCTCTCTCTCTCTCTGTATCTTTCTTTCTTTCCCTCTCCCTCTCTTTCTCTTTCTTTCTCTCTCTCCTTTTCTCTTTCACATACACACACACACACACACACACACACACACACACACACACGTCTCTATGTCTCACTCTGTCTCTCTCTGTCTCTGTCTCTGTCTCTGTCTCTCTCTCTGTATGTTTCTTTCTTTCCCTCTCCCCCTCTCTCTCTCTCTTTTTCTTTCTCTCCTTTTCTCTTCCACATACACACACACAAACACACGCACACACGTACACACATTTTATGTCTTTCTCGCCCATTAGATACACAGTCACATGAACGCACACACACAAACACACACTCCTATACGATTAATTCTATGAACTGTCAGTATATAATACATTAAGCTCATTACTACTAGTAATCACTAGAGTTTAACTATGATTAATCTGTTATTGTATTCGAATGGGAATTAAAGAAATTCTATGTAACGGAGGAGTCCCTTTTTGTTGTCCTTTACAAATTTACCCGCCTTATTATTTTACAAGCAAGAAACAGTTAACATACCGGTAATCCAACTAATTCACTTGGAATTAAATGTTACAGAAGTAATATATCACATTTCATCTGTAGATTAAAGTAACACAGGAAGCAGAGAAACTGCGGAAAGGGGGCTATCAATTTAATCCTTCAACAAATCCTTTAATCTCTAATAATATTGTAATAACTACAGAATCCTTCATAATGTACAGTAGTTCGCCTAAACATAGACGGATGCACGCATATAGTATGTGGCATGAGACACTTCAATAGGAATCACACATTTTGTACCACATTTTCCCATATAGGAAGGTCAAACGAATTTATTTTTCTTTTTTTCTGCCCCGGTATCCTAAAGTAAATGAGCTCTAAATTCCTATTAGGTGTATTTATTGTTTACATTTCAATTGCGTTTCATGCTATTAATTTTTAACTTGTGATTTAGTGATTGCTAAATAAATAGATAATAATAATTCCTAGTGTGCAAAATAATGTTTTCTTTAAAGAAAAATCGCCCACATTAGTAACAAACCTAGGTACACACATCAACTCTATTCCAATACGTACTGCTAATACTCCTACTCCTATACTACTACTACTACTACTACTACTACTACTACTACTACTACTACTACTAGTACTACTACTACTACTACTACTACTCCTACTATTACTACTACTTCTACTAGGCCTGCTACAACTACTACTACTACAACTACTACTACTACTACTACAACTACTACTACAACTACTACTAATACTACTGCTACTAATAATACTAGTCTAACTACTATACTGCTACTGCCACTACATGTACTACTATAAATATTACTGTAACTACTACTACTAATACTTCTAATGATGTTGCTGCTACTGCTACTGCTGCTGATACTACTACTACTACCACCACTTCAAGTTCGATAATATGATTATAAGACGTCTAATAACGATAATACGGTTGCATTTGATTTCTCTGTAGGGTTGTCAAGTGATTGGCTTTGCAGGCTCTGACAAGAAGGTTCAATACCTAAAGGACATAGGATACGATGTGGCCGTCAATTATAAGACAATGGGAGACTTGGACAAGAAATTGAAGGAGGTAGCCCCCAAAGGAGTAGACTGCTACTTCGATCTGGTAAGTAAACGGGGGAGTGTTTCACAAAGACGAAGGTCAACTTTACGTTGGACTTAACTATGGCAGGCTGTTCATGCCACTATTTTCTTCCATCATATACTGGCATTGGTTTCTCAAGGGACGTGGTCACAATCGTGGTCACAAATCTACAGAGTTAACATTTGTTGATAGTTCATTTTTTTTGGAAAAAATATTTCTAAAGGTCATAATTGAGAGACCAATGGTGAAAGCAAGTAGTGGCATGAACGGCCTGCCAAAGTTAAGACCAACTTAAAGTCAATCTTAGTCTTTGTGAAACAACCCCCTGATGCGCTAGCGGATGGGTGGGGGGGGGGGGTGTGCATCCACCCACCTTGTGAAACCCAAATGGCATGCCTTCAGTTCAGTGCACAGGCCGGCTGTACTCGACTCGTCTCTGATTAATGACAATTAAAAATCCTTGAACCTACACTTAGAATTTTTAATAATTTGTATACTTTGTCAAATATTTGCTTTCTTTCTACGTTTTGATTAAATGATTTATATAGTAATTTATTAAACTTTCTATTTAACGAATCATCTATTCATTTACCATTTTCACTATTTTTATCGTTTTTTTATCGTTATAACCATTATTAATAATATCATTATTATTAGTTTAATGCTATTATAAAAATTATTGTTCTTATTCTTCCTATTGTTGTTATAATGAATTTATTTATCTGTTAATTTAAGTATTTAGCCATTTATTCATTTATTCATGTATTTCTATTGCTGGTTAATATTATCGGGATACTATACGTGTGGGGAATATATTCCATTGATACAAAATTATAAAACAATTGTTTTATCTTCTAAATAATAGATTGGAGGGGAGTTTTCCAGTACGGTTATCTACAACATGAACGCGCATGGCCGTATATGTGTTTGTGGATCCATCAGCGCCTACAATGCGAAAGAGCCCCCTAAAGGTTTGTATTCTCATAAAATGTTAATTCATAATTACTTTTCCAGGTGGGGTCACCCCTACAAACTCTGCCTTTTAGTCGGCATCCACTTCCATTTCAGTTTCATGTTTTTTAATGTATTGTATCGTGCAAATTGATCTGTATATTAATATGTGAATATGTACAAATCTACCATTATTGTAAATATGAAAAATTGAAAACGGAAAAATAATTTAATTTAATTTAATTTAATTTAATACCCTTCACAAAATATGAGTAAGAAAAGCTGTCATCCGTTGGGGTAATCATAACGTGTAATTTAGATTTCTACCAACCTTTACATTTAGTAGGCAAGCTTTTGTCATGCACTCTTTTGGACATTCTCGAGCCAAGTTTAGATTCACACAGTTTGCAGTCAGCACATTCCACATGAGAGAATTGTTCAACCGTTAACAGGACAAGAAAATGTCCTGCTAATGACCATATCTACTTAATGACTCATTTTTTCACCACATACATGTAATTATGTCCGTCTAATGACGCAGTAATATATAAAATAATAATAATAATAGTGGGTTCTTGTATAGCGCTCATGTCAGTCAGATTTGACCCTCCTGGCGCTCCCGATATATATATATATATATATATATATATATATATATATATATTACTAAAGGCGTCATTAGAGGGACATTTGGAATGAAAATGAGTCATTAAGTAGACATTGTGATTAGGAGGACAATTTGGTGTCCTCTTAACGTTTTTTACGTTTTATTTGTTGTGGAAGGCCCAATTTTGTTATATATCTCTCTCTATATATGTAATTTTACTAAAGGCGTCATTGGAAGGACATTGGGAGTAAAAAAAATGAGTCATTAAGTAGACATTAGGGTTAGGGTTAGGGTTAGGGTTAGGGTTAGGTTTAGGGTTAGGTTTTAGGGTTAGGGTTAGGGTTAGGGTTAGGATTTTTATGATGTCCACTTAATGTACCATGTAGGGTTATACATATATATATATATATATATATATATATATAGCCAGGAAATGTGAAACCTACTTACCTACTTGTTACGTTCCTTTTATAAATTTTTTTTCAGGATTATTATTATTTTTTAATATTTGGTATCATTTTTTTCTTCTTCTTTGCAGCGAGAATCCTTCAACCAGCAATCAATGGTCAGCGTCTATCAATCCAAGGATTCCTTGTCTTCGATCATAAGGATAAATACATGGTGGCCGTAAAACAACTGATGATTTGGCTTCAAGAGGTATTAATCTCCTTTGGGTTATAATGGAATTTTATATCTATTTATTTATAAATATCTATCTATTTATTAATCTCCTTTAAATAGTTTTGTTAATTTTATGACCGATTTATATACCATTCTGGAAGAATATTTTATCATAGAATGGCTTTTCAAAGTATTTTAAAGTCACCATCGTTACGAATACGTTTGTTATCAGCCTATTCTAGTTTTGATTTTGATTTTCATTATTTCTGTTATCAGCAGTAGTAGTAGTTGTAAATATTATTATTATTAGAAGAAGAAGTAGTAGTAGTAGTAGTAGCACTAGGAGAAGTAGTAATAATAGTACTAGAAGTAGTAGTAGTAGTAGTAGTATAGTAGTAGGAGTAGTAGTAGTAGTATTAGTTACAAGTAGTAGTAAAAGTAGTAGTAGCACCAGGAGAAGTAGTAATAATAGTACTAGAAGTAGTAGTAGTAGTAGTAGCAGTAGTAGTAGTAGTATAGTAATAGTAATACAATTCGTAGCAGTGATATTTGGCCAAGCAGAAATTTCTTTACAAAAAGGTTTCCCTTTTCGCTGTTAAGCATAGTCTGTATTAAATACAAAACACTAGGTGACCACAATAAATAAACACATATAAGTCACAGAGATTCTTAGTTCTTTTTTTTGGGGGGGGGGGGGGAGGGGGTATTATTTGTGTCGCTTAAAATAAAGTCCCTTTTTTAATATATCTTATCTTTCTTTTCTTTCTTTTTTCTTTCTTTTTTTACCTTTTTTTCTCCCAGGGTAAGCTGAAATACCAGGAGCATGTGACCAAGGGATTTGAGAACACACCCAAGGCTTTCAAGGGGCTATTCACTGGAGCAAACTTCGGCAAAGCCATCGTCCAGATATAAACATCTCAGAGCAAAAGGAGTAACTCATCCATTTGCCATTATAAGATGTATTACGATCACCGACAGATTCTGATGCTGCCATTAGTTTTGTTGAAAACAAATTTAGAAGCTCGTCAGACTCTTATGGTAGTCGCTAACCTCATACAATGAAATAAATCATCTGGCTTTTTACTACTTCCGTAAGAATATTATCGTCATGATGGCGGTGCTAAATGAAATGTTCGAATTCAATATTACTGATCATAAACAACGAAAAACAAATACTGTCTTCGTATTTCAAATGGAAAGTATGCTGTAGAAGTCTATGCGAAAAAGAGTGGGAAAGGGGGATTTGAAAGAATGAATAACATGATGAATATTGATTAATTATATTGTTAATCTTCTCTTTACCATTTCCTCTATTATACGAATAGTAATATAGTAATGTTTCTGTGTTCCTTAACAACTGTGTAAGAGAAGCAAATCTTATCCGGAATTTGATTTTTCCTATTAGGTTTTAAATTCAAATTGAAATATTATGCAAGCTTTCCAATCTCAAAGCCTGTCGGATGTTTACTCAACATAGAATATAACCTCAATATCCAGATGATCTTTGATGGTTAGGTTATGCACGGTGGTGTATATGAATTCATATGTTTGCGGTTTCACCCGAGAAGGACTGTTTTGGTTTGGAAGGGGATAGAGAAGAAAGTGAGAGAGCGATATTATTTCGGTCCTACAAAAGAACATTAAGGGGCGTCCGGTATTGGGTTAAGTGACCGTACTTGTAAGTACATAATGGAAGAACATTAGCCTTGAAGTTTAATGAATTTTGGAAATTAAATTGATATACCAAGGACTAATTGCAAAATACAATATTGTTATTGAAGTGGTGTTCGTATCTGAAATAAAATCTGAAATATTTAGTTTATCAGCAATATTTTTAATCGAGCTGTTGCAGTGTAGGACAAGTCATGGTTCGAGTTTTGCCTATGTTTATTTTCATTCGTAATATAAAACTACATTCCATATCTTGTGCATGCCATCCCTCCTTTAAACGATATGATATGATATGTTTACCCTTATGATAGTCCACATTCAAAATAGAAGGACTCTAAAATATCAACCGAGACAATTTATCATGCTTTACTGTAAGAACGTCAATATTTTCTGTTCGTTTGTGTATAGAGAAGAAAAATTGCAGTAGACGTAGAACATGGAAAGGAAAGGCATTTAAAAATAAGATCGATACAGGTTAAATTATGTTATGAGCAGAATATGGATAGTTATAGTTTTGAAGCCTTTCTCATGCTAATGACACAAAGGACTTTAGAAGAAAAAGAGCAAGCTTAGCCATTTGCAAACCAATAGTTGCAAATTGCCTAGTTTTAATTAAATTGGAAAGAAATTTGATTGCTAATCTTTAATAAATCGCCAAATGATTGTACTCTGGTGGCGGTAATTGCCGCGAAGATCCAAGATTTTGAGTAACAAATCGAAGCGTGCACCATGTCATAATTATTTACCTTTTATCAGGATCATGATTATTCATCATCATATTTTTTTCTTGAGCGCGGTCTTTTGCAAGAGTTATGATAGTCATTTTTATCCACATTGTGTAGTATATCAAGTTGAACAAACTTTGCTTAAAAGCTGAATGCTATGAAATAAAATGCTTTGTAATGTAGATTCATCTGGGTATGCTTCTAATTTCTTTGATGGGGTATACAGCTTGTGGCTTTGTACTCGATAGGAAGTGATGGAGAGTAAGAGAGATAGTGAGTGAGAGAGAGAGAGAGAGAAAGAAAGAGAGGGGAGAGGGGATAGAACGAGAGAGGGGCAGAGAGAGAGAAGAAACAAACATTTAGAGAAGGGGGCGCCTACTGCATCTATACGATAAATATCAACCGGCCCTCACGCCAAAATAGTGCGTGGCCCGTGTCACAAGGTGGAAATCGTGCCACACCTTGCGCCTGGGATCTTATGCTATTGTTGGTACTGCCACTAAGGCTTTGGTAACCTCGCAAAAAGAAGAATAATTAACACAAATGTTTAGGTTGAATAAACCTTTTTTTAATGCAAACTTTTCTAAACAACGGTTACAACATAATACATAAATGCATTTATAAACATGGGAAACTTATCAAAACAGAAGATTAATACAGTCCACTGATATAATTTATGTAGATCCTTAGCTTTGTCTTTAGTTTGGGTATATCCTGTTTCAGGACCCTGTTTCATAAAAGCTGTCATCAATACCAACTGCCACAGATCTATAAGAAATCTGCTCACAGCCAATCAAATGCAAGGATTTCAGTAGCTTATAACAATTACCGTAACTTGTTACTGACATCAAGTTTCATGAAACAGGGTCCAGGAGTATCCTGACAACGACCTGTCTGTCTGTCTGATGTCAGCCCCTGTCGATGGATAGACATGTACCAATGGTTCTGTCCTCTCCTTCTGTTCCAGTTACAGTACAGCTACATAAATCCTAAATATCAACTTTTCATTGGTGTTTACAGATTTACACTGATTTCAAATGTCCAATGTGGAATCACAAGACCGGCACTAATAGGACCTGGACTATTGAGGAGGCGCGATAGCTCAGTAGGTAGAGCAGTGGTCTCGTATTCCGGATGGGGTCGTTCGATGATCATAGCCATACCCAATCAGGAAACTTGAGACGAATTAACAACATGAGTTTTGAAACAGTGAGGGAAAATTTTGTCTAGATAGGTTCCGGATTCTAAAAAAAAAAAAAGATTGTAAAGGGGAAAGAAGATGATAACGAAGAAGAAGATGGCGAAGGAGGAGGCGGAGGAGGAGGAGGAGGAGGAGGAATGCACCAGCTATAGAAGCATAATACTCACATGTACAGCAAACCACTGCAATGATCATATCACTGCTTACACCATCCCTTGGTCTGGATTCGTACCAGCATTCCGATATGTCCCTCGCATCCTGATCACACCGTATAGTACCGTACTCTGGACTGGCGTTGGTTTCAGTAGTGTTGTACACATTGCCGCTCAATGTAGCATAGGCTCCCCGACTATAACCAAGGTGCTGGCAGACCAGATGGGACGTATTCACGGACCAGGCCTCGTGTGTAAAGAGTTTAACCTGGGATGGAGAATCATGGCTGGTAAAGCCCACTCTCCCTTCGCCGATGCTCTGGTTAGATCCATGTAAACTTACAGATAGGATAATAGTAACTGAATTAAAGAAAATAAGATATAGTGTTATAAAGTAAAAGGCGAAGTGTACTTCATAGCGTGGTTCCAAATAGAAGAACATGATTTGTTATGGCAATGAATCACTTCCGACCTGTAGTTCTTCTTGGTTAAACATAAACTACCCAATTTTACCGGTATTGTCATTGCTCTGGGTGGGTAGTATTTATGTATTTATATATCAATGTAAACCGTGACAATTATAAAAGCAATACTCTCTTTGACAATCTATATGGATGGAGCAAACTTCAGTATGCGGGCTGGAAACCCAGTGACCAGAGATATTTATTATCCAGGCGAACGCCCCCTCCAAACATCACCTTTAATATATCAATTCTGTCTGAAAACTGAAATTTAATTAGAGCATCCTTTTGCCTTGCCGGCAAATTTCGTAGGACGCCCCCTACACACACAGACACACAGGCACACGCACGCACGCACGCACGCATACACACACACGCACAAAAGGAAAGGAACTTACATTTTTCACACCTGTTGCCGCCATATCTGTCTGGACAGGAACAAGTAAATCCTTCAAACGTTTCGTTGCTTGTCCCTCCGTTGAGACAAGGATTGCGGAAACATTCTGTGGGAGAAGGGATATGGGTGTGATATAATGCATCTTGCACAAGATGAGTCAGTTGCGTTATTACCTGCGTTAATAAAGCTCATAAAGTTTTCGTTACATGTTTCTCCATTGAGGCACGGATGGTAGAAACATGCTGAGGAGAAAGGGATAAATGCATGTTTCACAAAGGGCGTCAACGCAGGAGCGTCATTATGTTCGTGCGCCAGTGAGCCTGTAAAATCCTACACATCCCGAGACGTCACTTCAATTGCGTTATTCCCTGCACTAGTGATGCCTATTAGGTTACCTTATTTTGCATTTTCCTCCATAAAAGGCATCGTTTAACAATTTATAACAATGATGATGAAAAGCATAGTATCTCTACCAAATACACAGCTAGGACAACATCGCCAGAATTACAATGTTACATAATACAGTGTCGTAGTCGACAAGCACTTGACTTGCTACTCAAAGGTCGTGGTTAGATCCCTGACACTGCACTTATGTCCTTTGACAAGGCATTAACCTTCATTTGCCACACTCGACGCAGGTGAGAACGGGTACCTTGCAGGAATTAATTACTTGAAATGCTGGAGCGCTGTAATGGCAGCACAGTTAAAGGGTAAAGCCGGGGTAAAAATTAGTGCGCCTCGGAGTAGAAATGATAATGATCAAGGATAATGAGATGATGGTGATGGTGGTGGTGACGATAATATTGTGAAGATAGAAATAATCTGACAATCATTCGGGGAGTCAATTGTATTTTAAAGGTCGTCTGTACTATTTCGGCCAGAAGGGATTAGACCACCCAGCGAGGTCGCTGACAGGTGGCTATCTCATCAACTCAGCTCTCAATTAACATAAGAAAAAGATGATCATGGGGGACCAACAGGCACCGATTGGGAAAGTTTTCGATATAGAGGGAACAAGTAGCTGCAAGTAGTACAGTGGGGCTTTAAAGGTACGGCAGTCATCATGGCCCTCTTTTAAAGGCCCACTGCACTATTTGTAGCTACTTGCGCCCTCTATATATAACAAACTATACCCAATCGGTGACCATTGGTCCCCCATGATCCTCTTTTTCTTATGTTATTTGATAGTTGGGTTGATGAGATAGCCACATGTTCAGTGACCTTGCAGGGTGGTCTAATCCCTCCTTTACACTAGTACTGATAAGCTTTAGCATGGATAGCTTCCTACCTGGTTCTCTGCAGACGTAATGGTAGGCGATCTTGTTATCTAACTGGCTGAACAGAGTATGTAGTTCATTCGGAGCCCCTTTCAGTACATACTCCATCACATCGCCTTCCTCAGTGGTCCGGGTAGGGCATTTTATGTTTGTCAGGCAAGGCTGCTGAACATCTGCCCCCAGGAATCTCTGCCAATTAGTGACCTAACAGTGTCACAAATAAGGTATCTAAATATGATTATCTTACCGTAATTTAAGGCCTAAAACCCTGAGCTTCCGGGGGTTCTGCCCCCAGGACTCTCTGCCAATTAGTGACCTAACAGTGTCACAAATAAGGTATCTATTTATCTTACCGTAATTTAAGGCCTAAAAACCCTGAGCTTCCGGGGGCTCAGCCCCTTGACCCCCCTGCCGAGGCTTCCAAACGTTTTTGCTCATTACGCCACTGTCCCTGGAAGGTGAGCCCCCCTGAAACGTTTGCCCCCAAATCCCAAACTGCTTCCGGCGCGCCTGACTCCATTGCTCTTGTCAAATAGCACTTACCTCCATTAGATCGAATAGCGCCCTGTACTGAACCATACAGAAGAAAGGAAAGACACAGCAAGATCTTGAAAAGGAGAAAAAATCACAAAAAAATCGAGTTAAGCGGCTATTGGGGTGATACAAGTTCTTTTCAATAATCTATCAAGTAAAAAAATCCGATATGAATCAATACAAGGGGCATGCACCTTCAAGAGTTTGTGGAAATTATTTAGGGATTAAGTCAGAATTTGAAGTCGATATTTAAGTTGTAAGTTCATTTGTAAATAAGCAATGATTCAAAACAACTAATAATACAAGATGTGTCACGTTTCACCTACGGAGAACTGAATTGCAAAATTCTGTAATGGACTTCTAAATGCCATTTGTTTGGGTTATTTTCCCTCTGAAATAGGAATCGTGTTGTCCCATTTGAGGCAAATGATAATAACTATGATGAATGATGATAATGATTCGACTACTACCACTACTACTACTACTACTACTAGTTATAATAATAAAAACATCAAAAATAGCAACAGCGATGATCATAATCATAATTATAATCGTAATGATTTTAATAATTATGATAATAATAATGTCAATCACAACAATGATAATAACTATAATCATCCTTATCATCATCGTCATCATGAAGGAAAAAAAAGACCATATCGTTTAGTTCCTTAGCTTCCCCATAAATCTAGCTAAAATTGACTTAAAGGGATATTTGAGTTCTTTTTCAGACCGCAAATGCCTTCAAAGTGCATGGTTATTGCTCTTATTATTATCTATGACATTTTTAGTGCCCTTTTAGAACCTAAAATTGCTATGAAGGAAATTTTAGACCCCAAAATGTGTAAAATTTAGCCAATACGATCATACCAATTCAGCTCCACTTTAAAAAAAATACGGTGACAGTTAATTAATTATTTAATTAAAAATGACAATACATGGGCCGGCTGGTTGTGCTTAATATAACCAACACGAATATGCCAACAAAAAAGCAAACATCAGCATTGGCTAAAATACGACGTAAAAGGCGCTATTTCGTTTTTTCAACGACTTTTTCAAATTATCTAATATTTGTGGTGGTACACAAGTATAAGAAATCGTTATATTTATGGATATTTCAGCCGTCTCTGAACCGGTTAAACCCCCCTCAATTTTTGTTGGT